GCGGATGAGAAGTGGGATGATTATGGGAGTTAAAAGCAAGTTAATGTTGCAGCGAATGCATGAAAGATGTGGTTTTCTATGCTAAAAACTCCGAACATTCATAATCTCACTTTTTGTTGGTTAGGGTAGCGGTTTGTAATCGTTTGAATAACAGAAAAACTACCATGACTTTGTCTGACTCACTGCTGACCTCAGCAGGTTCCAGACTGTTGCATGACTTTGAACATGGCTTAGCAATGAAACAGCCTTACAAATGATAAAGATGGTTAATGTCGTCGAGATGAAATAACAACGATGTTTACGTAAAACAGATGTTCTGCTTATTGACACAAATGAACATGCACTGGTTTAAAAAAGCGTAACAGTCAAGTACCGTTGTTATAGTCTGTTAAATTAAATGTTGAAGTAAAATATCCTTGGCTGTTTAGCTAAACAGGCTTGAACTAACTCACAGTTACCATGACGCTGACAGTCATAAGAACAATTTTACACGAGCACATTTTTCTCCTTTCGTTTTCTTTCACAGGAAATCAAACACTTTAATTGAAATAAAAGACTCTAATATCAAATCCAGAGGGGTTCAAATGAAGGCAACTGGACTTCTTTGGTTTCTAGAAGATGTTTTGTTTCTCATCTGAGGAGTTTTGTCAACCTTCCCCACAAAATACGCACTTCAACAACTCATCAGGGGTTTGGGAGGAGGGGCGTTCATAGGCAGTTTCTGCTCGTTAAGCTACAACAAGCTTGACTCTCCCACATCACAGTCGGAAAGATCCTCGAAGGAGAAACGAAAAATCTTCAAGAAACCAGAGAAGTTCAGATGCCTTCATTTGAACCCCTCTGGATTACCATGAGCTGGATGACTGAGAACCTTCACCAGCACCCTAATAAATAAATAAATAAATAAAGTATTTTTAATAATAAAATACATTTGTTCACATTTAGCTCAACATGTCTGAAGCTACTGATGAAACCTGGCTGTCGAGCGATCATCGTCCTCCTGGCCGTTGATGTAAGGACTAAACAGAGGTGCAGTCACTGAGGTCGGATTTGAAGTCGAACCGATCTGAGTGCTGGTGCTGACTGCCATGGAAGCAGTGGCTGATGGGTAAAACTGGACATCAACAGCTACCGTTGTGCTGCCCAAAGAGACGTGATGGGAGAGCAACAGGGGAGGGTTCCCGCGGGAGATGCTGAGGCTGTGACGGACGGGTGTTGCAGACAGCTCGGAGCTTCGAAAAGTTAGAGAGGAACGAAGCGTGTCCTCAAGCCTGGACGGTGGAGATGGAGAGGGGGAGGGTAAGGAGGATGGAGGGGGTAAGGCATCCTGACATGGACTGTGGTTGTCTCCTTTGCTGCTTGTCCAGTCCTCAGTGCACTGCAGCTGGATGCTGGGCTGAGACGAACTGCATCTCTTATCGTCCTCCAGGGAGTCCTCAGACTGTAGAAGAAGCATCTGAAATCCATAATATAGAAAACAAACAAAACAGTAGCACTTTGTTTTGGAGAACCACATTTATCCATCATATCAATCTTTTAATATCAACTGCGCTGCTCTGGGTGGCTGCATGTTGGAGTAGCTCTGCTGACTGTATGTAAGTTTTGCCTTTTCTTGGACATTTTTTCTTCTAATTTCTCAAGAAAAACTGAATTTTTTGGACATTTTACTTTTCTGTTTCTGCTGCTGTGAAGCTTGGAGGATTTTTACTGCAATTTTTTCACTTTTTTCAATTTTTGAGCATTTGTTATGATGCATAACCATGGCAACAAGCTGGTTTACAATCGGGAGCAGCTGATTAACATTGGAAAGGCTGAAATAATACCTCAACTGAAGCCACAAATCCCAAATCAGCTAAAATGCAAGAAGCGTGGGTGCAGAGCGGGAGCAAAACGGAGAAAGAGAAAGAGGAAATTCAAACCATCTCTGCCATCGATCATAATGGGCAATGTGAGATCACTGGCCAACAAGATGGAGGAACTCCAAGCCGTTTCAAGGACTCAGCCAGAGTATCGGCAGTGCAGTGTTATGTGTTTCACTGAGACGTGGCTGCAGGACCATATCCCTGATTCCAGCGTCTCTCTGCCAGGATTCCTGACTGTACTAGCAGACAGAGATCTGAAGAGGAGCGGGAAAAGAAAAGGAGGTGGAGTGGCAGTGCTTGTCAACAACAGATGGTGCCATCCAGGTCATGTTTCAGTGAAATGTCGTCTCTGCAGCCCAGATGTTGAACTCTTGGCAGTAAGTTGTCGCCCATATTATTTGCCAAGAGAGTTCACCAGTGTTGTCTTGGCAACCGTTTATATTCCACCTTCAGCCATTGCTGAAAATGCATGTGATGCCATCAGTTCCGTTGTCGCTAAGCTACAAACCCAGCACCCCAATGCATTTGTGGCTATATTTGGTGATTTTAATCATGCCTCGCTCTCTGCTACACTTCCAACATTTCATCAGTTTGTCAGCTGCTCCACCAGAGAAAACAAGACACTGGATTCGTGTTATGCAAATGTAAAGACTGTATACATGTCCAAAACAAGACCTCCTCTGGGACAATCAGATCACAATCTTGTTTTTCTCTGCTCAGAATACAAACCACTTGTTCAGAGGCAACCTGTGACAAGAGAAACTGTGAGACAATGGTCACAGGACGCTTCAATTTCCCTCTGGGATTAATAAAATATTCAAGCAGGGACCTGAAAAGGCTCAACAGCCTAATAAAAAAGGCTGGTTCTGTTCTGGGGACGACTGTGGAACCGCTGGAGGAGATCATGCAAAGAAGGATTCTCCAGAGAGTCAAGAACATGATGGACAACCCTGAGCATTCTCTTCACAAGACTGTCCGACAACAGAAGAGTGTCTTCAGTCAGAGGCTTCTTCAGTTTGGCTGCAACACTGACCGCTACTGGAGATCCTTCCTGCCAACAGCCGTTGTAATATACAACACCTCTTTGATGACTTGATTATTATTATTATTCTGAGCTACTACAGCAATCAGTTTCCCTCTGGGATTAATAAAGTATTTTTGAATTGAATTGAATTGAATTGAAAGAAACAAGTATGACCCAAAAATCTACATATTAACCCTCTGATGCATGAATTATGAGATCTTCAACCATGATTTTTTAAACAATTTTTTCATTCATTTTTAGGTGTGAATGAAAAAAATTTCAACAAATATTTTTTAAAACATTTTGTTAATTTACAAATAATTTATTACGTCCATCTCAGTGGACGGCGTGCATTCTGAACATGAAATATGTTGGTTTGACTTACTGAAGTCCAAATGGAGGGGCTCATATGCAATAAAGTCTTCAACAGCTGTGCTTAATAGCAAAAATAAATAAATAACAATTTTGAGTACCTGTCCACTGTAGTGACCATTATGCATCAAAGGGTTAAAATTTTACACATTTCATTTCCAATAAATGTGTCTAAATTTGTCACATTTGTGCATTTCTGTAGATTCACACCTTTGTGTCCACAATGGGCTCAGGGTAAGTCTCTATAGTGATGGCGTGGTGATCTGCAGCAGGTTGGGTGACCTCTTGAACCTCTTCAAATCCAGGCTCCACCTGCACTTGCAGGCTCAGTCCTGCAGCCCCAGGAGGTCGGGCTCGGGTGTCTGATGTGTTGGGGGTCTGCTCAATCACTGTGACGCAATCATCATCCTCAAAAGCTCTGTGCAGGACACAAAACTTGACTTTAGATGCAAACTGAGAGCATTTGGCCCTTTGGGGGTCTTTCGGTGTTGTGTGCACCTGTTTTCATAAGTGCGTTCTGCGACTCGACCATCAGCATGCCTCACCGGGACGCCCACACTCCTTTGAGCTGTGAAACGGCAGAATAACAAATATATGTTTTTGCAGAATTTAACTTAGATTAAAACTTAAATAATATCATGCTAACACGTCACTGGAGAGCTTTTATCACCACCACGCCTGTTATTGATTTACAAGACTTTATTCACTTTTTCTCTAAAAGGATGACGTTTGTTGATTAAAACCTTTAAGTTATTTGACAAACTTTCGACCAAATACATAAAAGAAAAGCTAAATTATTTGAAACAGCCACATTTTGACAAAGTGTTCCATTTAAAGCTTGAAAACAGAAAAATGCCTTGTTTTCCTTCTGACCTACTCGACCTGCTGGCACAGGCTCATTCTTCTGGACCACTGAGTAGAAAGTAACAGTGATGAAGATGAAAGCCAAAGATACTCCCACCCCCACCACAATGGGGATGTCATGCTTCTCCAGCATGGGCAGCCATGACGGTGACACCTGTGTTGCTCTGAAATGCACAAGAACAATTAATGTTCCACATCCAACAAATTATCCTGACTTTCTTCAACTTTCCCGTCACTTACTTGGGATTGTTGCTGGTCATGGGGGACTGGGAGGTGTTCTTCAACCAGTGTGTGTTGCTGGGTAGTTTTGTAGAATTTTGCTGATTGGTCCAGTTGACTCCATGATCCAGTTTTGGTGAACTGGGATCATGGGGACTGGAAAGGGATGGATGCTGTTGTGAAGGTGTTGAAATTGGACCATGAACCTGAGATGGTTGAGTTTCTGGGACTGAAGCAGATGGAGGTGCTGAAATCTCCAGATTAGGAGGAAAACTCGCTGTGGGACTTTGGTGAGGAAGAGTTTGAGATGTTTGTGAGAGAAATGAAGAAGGCTGAGGTTGTGGAGTCTGTGAGGATGCATTTGGGTTAGAGTTCAGCCTTAATCTATGGGCAGGAGTTTCTGACTGATATGATTCAGATCCAAACGTCGTCCTCACAGTGACGGAGTGAGCTGCTTTAATCTGGGTTACTGGCCGTAGTGTTGGAGGTGGTGTGTATGAGTCCAGTTGAAGATGGGACATCTCTGTGATTTGATCCTCTGGAGATCCATCGTGGACATCAAGCTGCTGAGAATCAAATGCTAAAACCAACTCTTTACCATTTTGAAGATGTAATTGTGCATCTGATGATGTCAAAGCCTGACTACTAGTTTGTAAATAATCAGGATTTGCACCCAAAAGTTCACTGGTTCCCAGTGATGTTGGACTATGAGCTACTGGGTGATTATTTGACATAGGAGGCGTTTTGTTCTTGGGTGGTTGCTGGTAGTGGAGACCAGCTGACTGGAAGTGTGGATGAGGAGGAGGTGGTAATATGGGAGGCTGCACCTGAGTGATAAAAGGCTGAGCTGGAGTTGTTGTTTGCTGTGAGACACGAGACCTTGTTGGCGTCTCAAACTCAGTACCAACTTCTCTTGGAAGAGATGTGGTTGTGTCGGTGCAGCTGGAGCCTGGAAGATGTAAAAAAGAACTGTTGATTTGAGACCATTTGTTTGACCTCCACAGTTATTAGTCATGGTATTTGTTGAATTTTGAGTCAAAACTACAGCATTTGCTTTTTCACTGTAATCTTTGTACAAGAAGATGCAGGGGTGGTTCTACATGGGGTCCAGTGTGGGTCAGTGCCACTCTGGACCCCCCTCTGATGTTAGTCTAGGTTGGACCTACCCTGTGTAGGAGGTTAGTGTCCAATGGCCCTCCAAAAACAACAAAAGTTTCTGTTGCATAGTTAGGTTTAACATTAACATTGTGTGTTAATTCTTTATGTTCAGTCATCAGCAAAAATCAGGGGCGCCAACGAGATCCGCCAGACCGCTAGACTAGATTGCAGTGTTTTAACATTTTGCTGATGAAATTAAAGATCAAGTTCCCTTGTTTTTTCAGTTCAACAGTGGTCTCTCGTATAAACGAATTTCTGTGGGGGAACAGCTCTAGCGCTCCTGTTTCAGGAACTAGAAGTGAGCCAGAGCTGAGGTGAGCAGAAGATGAACTCTTATTTCCAGATATTCTGACATCTAACCTCTGATTGGATTACAGTAATGTGACTCTACCACTGACTCCATTTATTTTGCAGCATTGAAGTTTTACTTTATCTTCACAAATAACACAAGCCTGGAGGAGTGCTGCTGAGTTGTAGCATTGCTAATGCTAACAGCTAGCTTCTTCTTGCCCGAGATATGCTCTACTTTGTCCTGGACGCTAAAGCTCACGAGCAACGGTGGATGAGTCCTTGAATGCTAATGCGACATTTGCGACACGTTCCTAATCCAAGAGTTTCTCTGACTGAATTTTACTGGATGCAGGAAATAGGGGTAGAAGACTCTTTGAATGTTGAGCCTGCATGTGAAACTCAGAGTAACTGATCATATTTAAAAGAAAACTTGGTCTTTATTGAAAAATTGTACTGAACTGAACCAAAATAAACATACATTACAAATTCTTTGTGGCAGTATTTCTCACCCAAAAACATCAAAGTGCACGCTGTAAGCAGGGACTGATTAGTGCAAAGCACCGTAGCTGTGCAGCACTGCTGAGTCAGGCAGGGAAAATGTGACGTTTGTTGTTACGTACATATTTTCATTCTCTGCTGCGCCAACACGGGCGCACGATGAGCGGTGTTGAGGTTCAGCTCAGATCGGGAGGTTCTCAGCTGGAAAACCTGCTCTTCGCTTGTGTTAGAGCTCTAGAAAATGTTAGGAACAAAATATTTCATCTCAAATCAAACAGAAAGAGATAGCGGACGGTTAGCACACTTTAGAAAAATTTCATAAAAGTTATTATCATATTTATTACTCACAGCAGACAAAGCCTGCTTCGTTGCGTCAGCTTGGTGATCTTCATCTGAGAGAAGCAGAAACACAAACGCTGATGAGCAGGAAAGCCTTTTCCTGCAGAACTAGAGCCCATTTCAGCAGATTAATGCACCTTTTTACAAATACAGCATAAATGTTCTCAGAATACAGCGTTACATTAAGAACACAGACAATGTTGCTCTAAACTTTAATTATTTTATTCATAAAGAGTCTTGCATCTTATTGCTCAGGCCCTAGCTCTTGTTTCTTTGGGCCCTGGCACCTCCCAACTGGGGGCCTTTGGAGCTTCGTGTCCCAAGTGTCGGTGATGGTGTGCGTTCCCCGAGCACGGCTACACACCAGTCACACCAGTTTAGATTGTAAACAAAGCCATTCTTGGTTTTTGACACATTACGATAAAATAATACTTGAACTTTATTTTAGAAGAGCTGCCCTGTGTGAACGTGCTGACAGGATGGAGGTTGTGAGTTCAACTCCATTTAGGGAATTTAGTCAATTGTTTATTTATTCCAGGGGTCTTGAACTACATTTGTTCAAGGTTATTTTTTCCAGCAGACACACTCTTTTAAAATAAAGTTCAAGAATCATTGTGTCTTAATTTATTACAATTTAAAATGTTTGTTTCCCGTCTGCGCTGTTTGGCTGTGGTTGTAGTTGTTTGGAGACAGTGGTAGATGTTTGGGAACAACCCAAACCCAACCCGTTGGGGGGCGTTAGGGTTAAACAGGTTAAGCACAAAGAGACAACACAGCCAGAGTGAGTGATGTGCACGTTCAGTGGCGTTACCGGTTACTGTGAGGACCGTGCGTTTCTGATGGCGTCCAGCTCTGTTCCGGGCAGTGCAGAAATATTCCCCTGCATCAGACGACTGCACTCCGGACATGTGCAACGCTCCATCTTCTGCATACGATGAAGGAAAAACCGTAAATTCCTCAGTTCTCACATTAGGGCTGTTTGTTCAAATCTCACCATCAGCGTGTTTGTCTCCAGAGTGACCGACAGGGGACTTTGTCTCGCCCCGGCCTCTGGTCCAGCTGTAGGTGATGGGGAGAATCCCAACAGCTCCACAGGGCAGGACCACGGATGCTCCAGTCCTGCAGCTCACCTGGCTGACATAGGTGACTATGATAGGACTGACTGAAATCAGAAACAGTGTGGTGGTACAAACCGTCTTCAGAGCACCAGATGTACTTCACAAATGATTGTATATTAAGTATTCAATGTATGTAGTACAAGTATTTAATGAATGTGAAGACATCATGTACCCATTCTGCTAAATCTCATTGTTAGTGGTGTGCTGAACTTGGAAAAAAGTACTTTTTTTATTCGGTGCTGACTACAGTTACCCAAATAAAAGCCATGGACAGAGTGTGTCTCTGGCGTCTCGTCTCCCTTGTTAGTGTTGATTAAAGTCACCTGCCCCGCGTTACCTAGCCCACCTGCGTCTCTGATTGTCCTCCTGTGTTTAAACCCTCGGTTTGTGCTGGTCTTGATCAGATCCTGAGCTTGTCTCATCCCACCTACCATTAATCACGTTAAGCAGTTCTTTAGCTGGCCTCTCGGCCTCGGGTCCCTGCTCACCTGCATTTGGGTCCTATTGCCACCAACTACATCACAACACAGAGAAGGCCAAGTGTCTCTTTGAAGGGCTGTTACCTGCCACTCTCAGCAGGGCTGTGCTTTGGCTTTTCCCCAGGATGTTGGAGGCTTCACACACGTAGATTGCCTCATCGTAACTCCTGGCTGACTGGATGTAAAGAGTTGCATTTCTTTGTCTGAATGAGCAGGAAAGAAAATGGCATTAAGCGGTTGCTGAATCATTTTATTTGTTGCCACCAAACAGAAACTCACCCCAATGCAATCTTGCCTCCAGTTTGCTTTGAGTGGCCTCTCTTAATCCAGCTGATGGAGGGCTGAGGGTGACCAGACACCTCACACTCCAACGCAGCCCGAGCACCCGCTGGCACCGTCAGCACTGTAGGCCACAGTCTAACTGATGGAGGGGCTGAAAGGAGAGGAAAATACCGTCGTGACTCGGTTTCCACAACAGTTCAGCAGGCGTGCGGCATCACATACCCAACACAGTCAGAGTTGCCTTTCTGGAGGTGAGGAATCTTTGGAGGTGGGTGTTGGAGGCCCTGCAAAAGTAGCTGCCTCTGTCTTTCACCTGGATGCTGGAAAGTGGGGAAAAGGCTTACAGCTTGTTTGTTCATATTCCTCTACATTTATTTTTATAACACACCTTTGGAAGAAGAGGTCTCCACTTGGCAGCACACTCGTGTTCTCACTGGGAGAAAGGAGCTGGTTGTTTTTAAACCAGGACACCTGAGCTTCTGGCCGGCTGAATGGAGGCCTGCAGGTCATCGTGACATTATCGCCTCTTTTCACCTTCAGGCTGGTGGGCTGCTGCACAAAACTCCAATGCATCTCTAAAAATATATATTACAATGCTCGAACATTCGATTTTACTTCGACAGCCTGAAAAAGTTTCAGATCAGCGAGAAAACGCGTTAGAGCAAATGTTGGGATACCAGCAAGAAGCAGGAAAGCTGGCTGGGATCGGATCGTTTCCTTCTGGTTTGATGCTTCACATTGATAGGAGCCCTCATCCTCCTTTGTCACATTTCTAATAAACAAACAAACAAACAAACAAATGAACTCAATACCAAAGCATCTAAGCTGCACATTGTGTGGATCAGACTCTAAAACAAAGCTAACCCTAACCATTAACAGCCCGGGTACATTTTACAGTAAAATACACAACTAATATTCTGGTGCATGTCACGCACATGAAAACAAACATCAAAATTAGATATTTACTTTATTTAGATGTGGTTAAGAAATGTGAGTGCCTGTTTGTGCACGGGTCATGCAAAATGTTGCACACGTGACCGATTTGACTGTTCGTCCGTATGAAGGCAAAATAAACCAACTGCTGTGAGCATCACTGAATAAAACACTGACATGAATTTAACACTTGGTGTGACAGACGCTGCCCGTTCCTGGCCTCTAGGTGGCCTCGGTGCTCTGCCTGCACACCTGCAGGAGACTATGTTCATGAGTGTCAAGAGGAGCTCCTGGAGACGTTCTGGGAGAGATTCCAGATGGGCGTTGATGCAGAGGTGTTAACACTCCTCCCCCCCTCTCTCTCCCTCCCTCACCCCTTGGTCCAGACGTCAAAGTCTTTGTTCGACACCTGAGTGGTCTTGTTTTGGTACCTGAGTGGTCTTGTTTTGGTACCTGAGTGGTCTTGTTTTGGTACCTGAGTGGTCTTGTTTTGGTACCTGAGTGGTCTTGTTTTGGTACCTGAGTGGTCTTGTTTTGGTACCTGAGTGGTCTTGTTTTGGTACCTGAGTGGTCTTGTTTTGGTACCTGAGTGGTCTTGTTTTGGTACCTGAGTGGTCTTGTTTTGGTACCTGAGTGGTCTTGTTTTGGTACCTGAGTGGTCTTGTTTTGGTACCTGAGTGGTCTTGTTTTGGTACCTGAGTGGTATTTGTATTAATAGTAGTTTGTGTGTCCTCACCTCCTGAGAGACTAAGCTCACCCTTTTGGTGCAGTTTTTGTGTTATTCGTTCAGCTTTATTCCTTATGCCCTTTTGTTTATTAGAGTTCATTTACTCATTTAGAGACCCCTTCGTTTGTTAATTCCCAGTAACTGGATGACCTTTTTGTTCCTTATTTCTGCCCAGAGCGCCGTTTTGATGAATAAACTTCCTTCTAAGAGTTTTGATTTGGTTTGTTTCATTCACAGACATCTTTTCTTTACTCCCTTAAATTAAATCGTGCTCCTAGCGAAGCCAAGGGGCGTAACACTTGGTTTAAAGAAGGCTGAAAGAAATGCTTGGTCACACATGCACGTCTTTTAAAGTGCCTTCATCATCCACAGATGGTACACGTTTATTTCTAGTCAGTAACCAAAGCTGTGAAGACATAAAGAATGAATTTCTGTGAGGTTCTCTGCAGCATCAAACCTGAATGTGAGCAGCTGTCCATTGTTCTGGAGGCTGAATGAAGCTGAGCAGTTTGACAGGAGGCAGTCGTCTTTGAACCAGTGCACCATGGGAACAGGGAAGCCACGAACAGTGCACTGCATGTAGACCTCTGCTCCCATGGCAACGGTGATGTTGTCAGGGCCCTGGGTTATCTGCAGCCTCCTAAGAGCCCCTGTGGTGCAAACTTGTTAAGATTTGAATTCCAGTATAAAACTGGATGAGTGTGTGATCCTGTACTGGTCCGGGTTATGAAGGAAGTGAAGTAACGAAAACATGCAAGAGCTCACTCTGTCTCACCTTGCACAGTTAGCTTAGCTGGTCGGCTCTCCTTGCTGATGTTGAGTAAAGAGTTGTGCGTGACACAAATGTACGTTCCATCATCTTCTAATGTTACGTTGAGAAGGTGCAGCGTGCCCGAGGTCTTCTGCTGTTGACCCCCACCGTACTCGCCCTGAACAAAGAAAGGCTGTGATGATCCCCGTGATGAGTCTGATTCGAGGTAGCTTCACGTTTAATCACATTTGTGACTTCTTGATTTGAGTGGCCTGGCCTCTTCATCATCATCATCATCATCATCATCAATCTTTATTTATAAAGCACATTTAAACGGCGACAACGCCAACCAAAGTGCTGTACACGACGATACGTCACCAAACTAGATACAGCAACATAAACAAGATAAAACAAACAAAAACTATAATAACAATAAATAAATAAAACAAACAGGAAAGCACAACAGTCTCCGCCGGGAAGGCCAGGGAATAAAAATAAGTCTTCAAACGTACTTTAAAAGTGGGAAGGGAGGGGGCAAGTCGGACCGTCAGGGGGAGCTGGTTCCAAAGTTTAGGCGCACAAACCGAAAAAGCCCGTTCGCCACGGGTCGTGTAGCGGGCGGGAGGGACAAGCAGAAGGTGCTGTCAGAGGACCTCAGGGTTCACGCCGGAACAGAGGGACTCAAAAGATGAGCCAAACAGCAGGGGGCCGTTTCATGGATAGATTTGTAAACCAACAGGAGAATTTTGAACTTAACATGAAACCGAACTGGAAGCCAGTGTAAATTTGCCAGAACAGGGGTGATATGCTGCCGTCGGTCTACGCCCGTGAGAAACCTCGCAGCAGCATTCTGAACCAGTTGGAGGCGTACCGCTGAAGAGGAGGGAACACCATACAAGAGAGAGTTGGCATAGTCCACACGTGACGTTACAAAAGCATGAACAACTTTCTGAAGATCTTCAGGTGCAGGAGCCGGGATCACCCAGCCCCGGTGATCAGCCTGACACCGCCCCTCCTCCTCCTCTCCTCCAGGCTGCTGAGGAGCACAGCTGAGCTGCATCCCTCTGATGAGCCACACCTGGATAAAAAGGCCGTGCCTTCAGCAGTGAGGGGTTCTGCTGTTCTCCAGGCCTCATTTTGGGTTCAACCCCATCGATTAGATGAGTTTAAACTTTTAAAGTTTTAACTCTGAGTGGTCCAGACTTTTGCTTTAAAACACCTGTTTGGTAAAACTTTTAACATACGTTTTAGCAAACAGGTGTTCTATGTCAATAGATTGTTTTAGAACGTTTATCAACTTTGTGGATTTTGGGAACACCTTCTGTTGGTGAAACTTTTACTCTAGTTTTAACCAGATGTTCTTAATGTTGAACTACGCTACACTGGTAGTTGCTCTTTTAATGTTTACCTTTTGAGAGGTTATGTTTTTGTGTGTGTTTGGCATTATTTTAATAACGCTTACCATCTGTTTGCACTTGTTTTTAGAACCTTTTATAGCAATTAAACCCATTTTAAACCCACTATCATGGTTCTTATATTAGCCCCTCCTTCACATTATAACACTTCCTGTCAGGGATGTAACATAAATGGGGGCTCGTCTGGGATATTTAACTACATCAGACCGTGAAGGTGGTGGTGGTATTTTAATGGTGTTTTATTTTAACATCGGGGGCTCTCTTCGCTTTTAATATACATACAAATTACATGTAAGTTTTCCATGTAATACTTTTACATAAAGTCAAGGAAAGATCCACTTTTATGGTAACCCGTTCATGTTGATGTACACTTGACTTGTGTCTACTTCCATCAATAACAGCTGAGATTTTACAGATTTTAGTTAAATCCTGCAGCTGTGTGTGTGTGTGTGTGTGTGTGTGTGTGTGTGTGTGTGTGTGTGTGTGTGTGTGTGTGTGTGTGTGTGTGTGTGTGTTCCCTTTATTCTTCTTCAGCCCAAATGAAGAGCAAATGACTCACTAATGAATGTCTGCCTCCATTCTTTATGAGTTCTAAAAGGAGAATCTGTTCAGCAGAGTTTACTAAATGCTTATTTTAGGTTTACTCTCACTACATTTAATTTTTATTGAACCAAATTACAATTGTGGTTTGATAAATTGTCGCTAAATGTTCTATAAAAGTTTTAGCTGGTGTTGGGCCAAGAATCATTTATGAGTGTACACTGCATATTTGTCATGAGAAATGTTGAATGGCTTAAATTTTGTTTGGGGAACTTGCAAAAGCAGATCATTGTCTGGAACATTGACTGCAGCTGTTTTTTATGCACTTACCTGAAACTGTCTGCCTCTCGTGACCAGCTGTCCATCTTTGATCCACGTGATGTTTGCAGGAGGTGAACTTTCTCCTGATACACACTGGAAGAAAACAGCTTGTCCTTCTCTGATCGTCTGGTTGTGAGGACTGAAGAAAACATCATCCAAACCTGGAATGCACATGAAAAATATCACCTATATGATGCCTACAAACAGAATGATTTTGATTTTGCACCTCAGAGTTTGAGCATCTGTGCACATTAGAGTTAAGTTTAGGCAGCTGGGATGTGATTTTTGATGTTATTTTGTGTTTATTGGTGAGTTTGTGCAACATAACTATAGAAATTGAGATATTAAACATATATCATTGTCAGTGGAGTTAATCATCATTAATCCAATTAATTAATTGGAGTTAATTAGTTAGTTATTTTTCCCAGCCGGCATGCAAAGGTGGGCCCCATTTGGATGGGCAAACCGCATGGGTGTCAACAGGGTTTGTCCATGGTTACCATGGTGACCCCACAAAGGTTTGCTTACATAGATTTTTGCCCACATGAGTTTTCAGAGGGACCCAGATGGTTTGACTCTTACAAAGGCTCATTGAGTTTTATGTGGGCAAACCTCTATGGGGTCACCATGAAAACTGTGGAAAAACCCTGCTGGCACCCATGCGGTTTGCCCATATATACCCATATGGGGCCCACCTATGCATGTTTGCTGGGTTTAATGCCATCCAGGGTGAGTAAACAACAATATGATCCAAAAATAACAAGCAAACGATACAAAGAAAGGGGCAAAGATGATGCCAGAAACAACCCAGGTCAAATACAAAATGGATTACAGGTGAGAAAAATAAATAAAAAACATAAATGCACCAGAATAGAATGCATCAACACACACACACACACACACACACACACACACACACACACACACACCCACACACACACACACACACACACACACACACACACACACACACACACACACACACACACACACACACACACACACACACACACACACACACACACACACACACACACACACACAGGTCAAATTACATCTCCACAATTGACCCATCCCAATGGGGAGGGGTGAGCTTCAGCTGTGGACACGCTCAGGAACTATTTGATGGTTTAACCCCTCAAACCAATCCCTTAAAGTCGAGTGTCAAGCATTTTTAAAGTCTTTGGTATGCCCCGGCCAGGATTTAAACCCCGATGTCCCTGTCCCAGGGCAGGCACTCCACCTCTAGGCCACTGAGCTGGATCAAAGGAATAAAACCGGGGGGGGGGGGGGGGGGGGGGGACTGACGTGATGAATGTAAGATGTTCTTAATGCTGACACTGACCGAGTTTTACATGAATATTCCACTCCAAACACAAGTTTTGGGTAAAATGTTTCATTGAAGCTTTTATGGATCCAGAATGTAAGAGATGTGTTCACGGACTCACCCAGGGGGGATGTGACTGCCAAGGCAAACAGAAGGACTGAGCAGAGGACAGAAGTCATCTGAGGGATCAAACCAGTGGAGACACAAACTCTCATCCTACTGCAGAACTCCATCAGAAGACAGAAGAAAGCAGCAAGAAGCTTCATCCATGACGTCAGCCTGCAAAGAGGTCACACAAAACCAGATACGGAAAACAGACTGGAGGCTTTGCACAGTGCAATTTAAAAACTTGACTCAAAATCAGCAAAACCTTTAATTATACACAAATGTTGTGATTTTGCAAATGTGCTAAAAGCTGGATAAAGGCGTTTAAAACTTTTCCTCATTGGTATGTTGCTATGTTCACGTTCTTAACAAAAACTGACCCTAGAACACAAAAAGCATGGAACCAGCCTGCTTTTATCAGTTTTCAGCAAATGTATTCAGCAGATGGATTTAACATAATTCCCTCCCTGTTTCATTCTCTTGAGCCCCCCCCCCCCCCCCCCCCCCCCCCCCCCCCCCCAACCGCTTCATTGCTATTTTGGTTGTGGCACCACAGCGAGCTCAGCTTTGTCCTCTTTGGTCCCTTGAATGGGCACAGCCACTTTATAGAGCTCACACGGTGGTCCTCCACTCAATGAAAGTGACATGAAAAGAGGCTGCGGAGCTTTGTACTGTGAAGATCAGTTATTGGTCCCTGCAAGGACAGTTAGCTGTCTGATCTGTGCTTTCATGATCCTCAACCTGGCCGTGGAGGGTCTGATGCTTCATCAGTAGAATGTGGTGCAAAATTTCCCTTCGAGTAGCACAAATGTGATTTTTTTGTTGTTGTGGGAGGTTGAGCTGCGACTTTTGGAGTAATGTCAAAAACAGTTGTGCAAAATTGGTTGGATAGAAGATTAAAGGGTTTTATTTATCAAACCATTTGATGGATCTGGGGAAAAGTTGCACAAAACATGCAGTTTGGGCAATTAAATTACTGCAGAAAATATGCAACACTAATTGTGAGCAAGATTGTGCTTTTAATGACTAGTGTTCTGTTTTCCTATTGATTTAATCTACCAAGATGCCAAAATCATATTTTGTTGTTTTTTTGGTGATACAGTTATATTTATTTTATTGGCCTATTATTATTGTTATTAATATTATTATTATTGTTATTATTATTGTTGTTGTTGTTATTAGAGTAGAGACACAATTGTTTGTCTTGAATACAGTTAGATTTTAACTTAAGTAAGTTGTATTTAAATAGCACTTATCACAGACATAGAATCACAAAGTGCTTCACATTCATCAAAACAAAATAAAACATAAAGTCATTAAATCATAACGATGTCAAAATTGGATCATAAAAAAAGGTTGTAAAAATATAAAATGTCATAAACGGATGAAAGATAAATTTAGCAGGTTTTTTTTTTCTATTCCAAAAACCACAACATGACTTACGTGCAGGAGCAAAAACAAACATTGGTACATTATTAACATATTTCATGAAGAATGGACTGGAAGCATGGCTGAATATGTCCTGCAGGACCAGTTGTGCTCGTCTATTAGCACCAAGCTAAGAGCCCGTGGGTGTTTATTTGTTGACTAGCAAGCCCACAACAGATCATTTACACCGCTTAGCATATCATTACGGCATTTTAACATCACCCTCACTTCTTTCTTTTGTTTTAGAGATTTTCTTTATATTTTCTTTATTTACTTGTTGACAACTTGTCAGTTGAAGTGTTCATCCAGATGTTTTAGTCACTCTGCTGTATTACTGCAGTAATAAACCTCTTTATGAGATTTACATAAAAGGAACCATGATGAACTCATCCACGTGCTCATGTTCTGAGATTAATTACAACCTTATTAAAGTGATTCAGAATTAAAATGGTCATTTCTGTTGCTTTTAACCATTTAGGAGCAAAACTCTGCTTTTCAAAGTTTCATTTAATCAAATTCATTTGGTTTCATATATTTGCACACATTTGAATTATAAAGCAGCTACAGACATGATCTCCTTTCTTTCTGTTGTTTTATTGCTTTTTGGGGTTAGCTTTTAAACTTCACTTTGATCCAGTGCAAAAGCTGTTGTTAATCCATTTTTATGTGCACTAAAAGCAGCATAGAAACCAATCTGCATGTCTTTAATCATGCTGACAAGTCCCATCAATCTGGTAAAAGTTCAGTGAAAATATTGGTACTTACTCCACACACGTGTCGGATTTAGTCTGTGATCAGCCGCTCTTTTCCTCAGCTGTTCGTGTTCTTCTCTCCCGATTCATCCTCTGAGCTCCCGCATCAGAGGACAAACGACGGCCGCTCTCATGTACTCCCTCCTCCTCTTTACACACACACACACACACACACACACACACACACACACACACACACACACACACACACACACACGCTCATGCACACAATGTCTTCTGGTTCAAAGCCAGCAGAAGTAATGATGCTCAAAACGGTAAATTATGCACCCAAATGTGTTTGAAGAAAAATAAACTTGAAATTCATGTTTTGAAGGACTTCAGATCAATGAAAAGCAATAAAAATGCAATTAAATTATGAAAATGCACCATCTGAGTTGACTTCTTTGCTGGTTTATTACAAAAGACATACAGCTGAGGTTTTCGAACATTCAATAATAGCAAAACAATATTTATGCATTAATGGGTAACTTTTAAGTTTACAGCAGCATTGAATTAATATTACACACCGTAACACTGACACACAAACACACACACACACACACACACACACACACACACACACACGCCGTGCTGATCAAAGGAGGGACCAACTCATTGGATGCTCAGATTGTGTAAATTTACTTCACAGTGGCACTAAATAGTGATCTGTCGATAAGTGCCCTCACAGATGTAGGTTAATGGGAGGTAAAACCACTGCTGCATCAGTCCTCCGTTCATCAATGAGAGCCACTTTTACAAACGAAGCAGGAATTGAGATGTTTGAGAATATTTGAGTGTTTTGCATAATAATTTCCATCAGAAATGTTTCCATAATCCTGCAAGGTGTTTGTTGTAATCCAGCTGTTATGGTTTAGTGCACCTGATGAGTTGTTATGAACGTTGTTCTCATGAAGACCAAAACATCAGCCATGCCAGTGTCTCACAGGGCTGCTAACATGGCTGGAACATCTTAATGTTGCATCAGTCATGAAGCAATGTTTTACTGTTAGACTGTTGCACGTAGCGCTGTGAGTTTAGTGGTTCACTCGTTCACACAAAGCACGACTGCTGCAAACATACTGCCGGGTACAGATGAAGTCCTTGCAAATGGAAATGGGTAGTCCGTTCAGCGTGACCAAATGGAAATGAAGGTACAATTGAGCCGATTTATAATCAATGCAGGGAGAGCTATTTTAATTCAGAAGAAAATGCAGACTTAGCTATTAAAACACGAATAATAAGCTTTTTAAAAATGTTGTGTACAATGTCATATTTTAAACATTTTCTGCAAATTATTTAGTTTTTGTGTGTTTGTTCGTGCATGACTTACCCATCTGCTCAGTTTTTTGTGTTAAAAGAAACTAATCGGATGTTATTTACATCAGTGGAGATAATCTCCACTAATATATATTCTAGTGTCATCTTGACAATGTTTTGAACAATAATTCCAAAACAAAGAAAACTGAGGACGAAATGCAAAAGTAAGTAATTAAATTAATTGGCACACCTAAAATAAGTACACAGGATTATGTATAGTGGGAGATGCTAATGCGTACAAACTAGTACATAGTACTTGGGAATTTGCTTACTGAACTTGTATTTCACAGTTGTTTATACTCAAGCAGTAGTAAACAGTACATTTCCAAGTACATTGTGCTGGTTTGTCTTAACTGTAGTAACTAGCATTTAAGTACATTTTACTTTGTAAGTGGTAGTAGGTCCAACTCATTATTGCCTTTTTCTGTTTACTGATTATTTTAAGTTAAATCGGTAAGTAAGGTGAACCAATCAGATTTTACATTGTATTTAGTTTCCATCTGAAATGGGATATAGTCTTAAAACCTCTTTCCATTATTTAAATATTGGTACAGACTAGGATTTATGACTCTTGAATATGAATTAAAGAAACAAAAGAAAAACACATCCACATACATAATGAAAGCCAGAATAAAGTGTATTTCTGCACGGTGAACAGGTAAATAATGGAATAATAATACAGATGATGATAATAATAATAATAATAATAATAATACAGAAGTTTCATTACACCCAAAAACGATCATGCTGTTCTGTTACATATGTGACAGTTAGTCAAAATTGGATTTCTGTTGTTATAATAAATAAATAAATAAATAAATAATAACAGATTTGTGAACTTAGTTTATAAAGTCTATGTCTAGAAAAAAGGATATAACTGGGTTTATTATGAGGTGGATAATTTATCAATTAAACGTTGTTGATTAAAGCCAAGAGTGTACAGCCTGAGCCACAGAAACAAGAGATGAGAGGAAGAGGAAACCCAGAGAGATGAACATTGGGTTTGCTGAATCGTGGAGTTCAGTTAAACACAAAGCCTGCTCCAGCATTTGGTGAGTGTCAGCACTAATACCTGGAAATATGATGCTGTTAGGACACAATGAAACAAATCAGGATTGGTTTTTAAAAAGTTCAGCAACTGATCTCACCATTTTGGGACCACTCCCTCCAGGCGTGGACATACCCAGGGTCATACTGCCCCTCAGAAGCTGTGTTTAGTGAGACACGCATGTCCATTACAGATGTAGTCCAACCACAACAACATGTGTGAAAACTGCTTTTACCTTTAGAGTGCTCTGACAGCAGGTGTTTCAGCTCTCTGAGGGCACGGGTGAGGTTCTCCAGTCGGTGCTGCAGGTGGAGGTTCTCCTCCTTCAGCGTATGGATGGTGTCCTGCAGCTCATATGTAGAGCTGCAGTGAAACAGCACAAAAATCCAGCAAATCATCTTGGTGACCTGCAAAATGGACAGCATTGTTGGGGCCGGAGAAAAAGCTGTAGCTGATGGTTCTGCTGAGTCCTTACTGCAGCTTCGCACTGCCTCAAAGAAGAGTGTGAGAGTTGATGTTGTTCAGTGGATGTCCAGTTTGGTTGTTAGAATTGATTCGTTGATGGATAAATAAATGATCCGCCTCTCTAAACCACCTACGCACACTTTACATGATCAGTTTTAGATCTGGCTTTCAGAACCCAAATTAGGGAAACTCAGTATGTTGTACATGATTCTAAAACTGATCCATAGCAAACATGAATGAATGAATGAATGAATGAATGAATGAATGAATGGATGGATGGATGGATGGATGGATGGATGGATGAATGAATGAATGAATGAATGAATGAATGATGGTGTTAACACACAGGACATTAAATAAAACAGTCTATGGTTTGACTGTACACACACAAAAACACAAGGATTTCGTCACTTTTAAACCACGAGAGTGCAGATAATTAATTTGTGGTATTTTAATGAACAAGATTAAAATAATTACTTTTGTTCAGATATATTAATGTCGATGGTTCAGATTCAGGACAAACTGTTTAACTCATACGGACACTAGGGGGCGTGTCTGCACCGGAAGAACTGAAGGAATCTTTCATGAACATCCGGGTTAGTTTCTGGTTAAAGACGAACAGAATGGCGACTCACATGTCGAAGTGCAGAACTTGGAATCGGGTTCACAGGTAAAACATTTAACACTGACACTTTTAAGCTCAAATATTTTGAAACGGTATAACAAGCATCTGCAGTGTCACGCGCTTCACTGACACGTGCTACTTTAAAACTCTTATGCCATTTCCAAAGATGAACTGTGAGCTAGCTTAACGCTAAGTGCTAGCCGCCTGTTTGATTTGTCATCACTGAGTTTATTAACAGGCGCTTAACATTTAGTCGGATGATGATCAGTACGTTTTATATGATAATTTTGTGTGTTTTCAGTAATCGTTATTTAGGGAAGGCTCTACTGTGTTTGCAGAGTTGGCTAATAAGCTTGGTAGGTAATAAAAACATGGTTAAGGTTTGGACAGACTTGTTTTTGTTTAGTAACAGTGTACAGACGTGTATACGAGCTAAGTGTTTGTCAGCATTTATGATTGAGAAATAATGAGAAGTTCTGTTAGTGTTTTTGTGCATTAAATTACTCTAACCTGGATTAATGAGTCAAGATAAAGTGGTTTTTTGTCCAAAACCAGTCCTCATTTTATGATTTGTTGGAAATAAACAAATGAAAATATTGTTTTTCCTTACAAAAGCAAGAAAAGCTGCATATACTTGTTTTCTCTTAAAGAGTTGCTGAAGCACGTGATCGACTGTGTGGTTGGTCGCTATTACTGATAGTATTATTTACGGTTGATCAGAAAAGTAGCTTCTCTAAAACAGTTACCAAAAGTCCCACCTTCAGTTAATACAGTCACTCCTTCACCTGTTACTATTAATATGGCTCTTTTAAATGTTCGTCCTCTGCTGAACAAAACGTTTTTAATAAATGACCTGATTTTAGATCCTAATCTTCACTGTCTGCTTTTAACAGAAACATGGCTGAGTTCAGATGCACCTGTTGTTCTCACAGAGGCTTCTCCGCCAGATTTAAATTTTTCTACGAGGAGTAGCAAAAGGGGAGGCGGTACTGCTTTTATTAGTTCATCAATACTTTCTGCCAAACCAGTTTTATTTGATCATTTTACCACTTTTGAATATACAGCGGCAGTTTTTAGCTCTCCTCAGATTTTATGTGTCACAGTTGATCGGCCTCCTAAGCAGAGTGCCGTTTTTATTCAAGAATTTTCAGAGTTTTTATCAATCCTGCACAACTCCTTTGAAAGGATCATTTTAGCCAGTGATTTTAATCTACATAGATAATCCTTCTGATCCTTTTTCAAAGGAGTTTTTAAATATTCTGAGTTATATGGAGTTTAGTCAACATGTCACACAGCCAACTCACAGCAGAGGACACACCCTGGACTTGGTCATCACGTATGGCCTGTCCACCAGTGTGTCCTCTGTTATTGATTTGGCTGTCTCTGATCACTACTGTGTATTTTTTAGCATCACCAGTTTTATCCAGCTGGAACCCTCTGTGAGTACTGTAAGGAAGAGTCATCTCACCCCTGAAGTGGCTTCAGGTTTTCTTGAAGTTTTTAGAAAGATCCCTCCCACTCCGGTAACTGCCTCTTGTGATTTTACTGTCAATGATTTTAACCGTAGACTGAAATCCGCTCTCGACCTGCTCGCTCCACTTAAAATCAAAAGTTTTTATTCAAAACGTGCTTCACCGTGGAGAAATGAAAATCTAAAGAAACTAAAGAGAAACTGCAGGGTTGCAGAGCGGAGATGGAGAAAGAACAAAACAACTATAAATCATCAAATATATACAGAGCTACTTAAATCATATAATAACGCAGTGAGAAATTCAAGACACGCATACCTTTCCAAACTCATTCTAGACAATAAACACATTCCCAGAATACTTTTTTCCACCATAAACAACATTTTAAACCGTACCTCCAATTCACTTCAGAAAACACCCTCAAATGCACTCTGTGAGGAGTTTGCAGCCCACTTCAGAGGGAAGGTAGACACCATCAGACGGAATATTTTACCCTCCATAAGTAATAAGGTCTTAGATAAATCTGAATGTGTGTCTATACCAGAGGAAACGCTGGACAGCTTTGTCCTGGTAGAAGCCGAGACTCTTGATAAAGTTTTCTCCTCAGTGAGACCCACCACATGTGATCTGGACCCAATTCCAACTTCGTTCTTTAAACAATTTTATGGATCTTTTAGTGATGAGATTTTAACCCTGATGAATTGCTCCCTTCAGACGGGGGTCTTTCCTGCTGCCTTTAAAAGGGCGGTGGTCAGGCCCCTGTTGAAGAAGAGCAATTTAGATTTTAATGAATTAAACAATTATCGACCGGTATCCAGCTTACCATTTTTAAGCAAAATTTTAGAAAAGTTGGTTTTAAATCAACTAAATGATTTTATAAACACTAATAATGTCCTAGAGACATTTCAGTCTGGTTTTAGGGTGAACCACAGCATCGAGACGGCCCTTCTGAAGATTTTAAATGATTTTAGAGTAAATTATGATAAACAGAAGTTGACAGTGTTGGTCCTACTGGATCTAAGTGCTGCCTTCGATACAGTAGACCACACTATTCTTTTAACTCGTTTACAACAGATCGGCCTCTCTGGTACTGTACATAGATGGTTCACATCCTACCTCACAGACAGGACTTTCATGGTGAGCTTGGATACCTGTTCCTCTAGGGTCCATGGGATTACATGTGGTGTGCCCCAGGGTTCAATTTTAGGCCCAGTGCTTTTTAATCTGTATATGCTCCCTCTTGGCAGAGTCATCAGGAGACACGGGGTTAACTTTCATAGTTATGCTGATGATACACAGTTGTACATCTCCGTGTCTCTGGATGACTCTCGGTCAATGGATGCACTTCTTAACTGTATCATAGACATCAAATCCTGGATGGCAGAGAACTTTCTCCAGCTCAACCAGGACAAAACTGAAGTTTTAGTCATTGGTCCTGAGGCCCAGAGAGATAAGCTTTTACCAAAATTACAATCTCTGTCTTTTAATCCATCCTCACAAGTGAAGAACCTGGGTGTGATTTTTGACTCTGAGCTGACTTTTATCCCACACATTAAAAATATCACAAAAATAGGTTTTTGTCATCTAAAGAACATCGCCAGAGTCCGCCCCATTCTCTCTCGGGCCAATACGGAGATGCTGATGCATGCTTTTATCACCAGTAGGATAGACTACTGCAACGCCTTGCTTTCTGCTCTTCCCAAAAAGAGCATCTCAGGTTTACGACTCCTACAAAATTCGGCAGCACGTGTCCTGATGAAGACCAGGAGGCGGGAGCACATGACACCAGTTTTAGAGTCATTGCATTGGCTCCCCGTATGTTTCAGGATCCATTTTAAGGTTCTTCTAATGGTTTTTAAGTGTCTTAATGGTCTTGGGCCTTCTTATCTATCAGAACTGCTTTTACAATATGAACCCTCGCGGCCTCTGCGCTCCTCTGGCAGGCGTCTCCTGGTCATCCCTAAAGTCAGGACACAAACTCACGGTGAGGCGTCCTTCCAGTGTCATGGCCCTCGCCTCTGGAACGAGCTGCCAGAGGACCTCAGGGCCGCAGAGAACATTCATGTGTTTAAGTCAAGACTCAAGACCCATCTTTTTAGGTTAGCTTTTATCTAAATATTTACTACAGTTTTATTTCTCGTTTTACATGATTATTAGGGCTGCAACAAATGATTATTTGGATAATCGATTAATCGGATGGGGTCTCGACACGATTAATCGATTAATCGGATTACATGGGGAAATTTTTAAAAACTGCTAGGGAAACGTTATTTCTCTCCTTCCTTCACTTTATTTAACACAACATTATTAGAAAACAGTTCAATAGCAGAAAAACAACATGCCATCACCTAAATTGTCTTATAAGGTGTATAGACAGAGACCCTAAGCTACATCTATCTGTAACCTAAAATGCTTGGTCCAAGTTAAACAGCTTAAGGGCAATTCTCATCGGTTTTGTTTGATCTCATCTGTTGACATTTATTTTAAATGTAATTAAACATAGACTGTGAATTAATCAAAATTGATCACTATTTCCAAAAATGACTGAAAAAATACCAAATAAAACAAAAGTAAATGAATGCCATCCTCCTTGCGATGATGCCCTGGGCAACTGCCATAAAGTCACATCAAGAAATGCTGCTGATCATTCCAATGATCCCAAATAGACTCACATTAGGCCACATGAAAGCAACTGAACCCAAAAATATATTAACCAGTATATAACTGCACTCTCACACAACACGCCTGCAGCAACAGTTAGGACTCCTCCCTCCCTTTTAAAAGCGTTTTTGCTTCTGAGGACATTGTGGTTGTAAAACCACATGCTAGTAGTCTGGCCCCGGTGTGATCAACCAGTTTCTGCGAGAATGTGACGGCGGAACCAGGGCCAGATTAACACTTTGTTGTACCCTGGGCAACAATATTCAAGGGCTCCGTCATCACGACCCGAGGATCACCATAATATGGTCACATACAGAATATTTTACTGTAATATGCAGTAAATATACTCAATACTTGAATGCCTGACAACACGTAACCCGCCCAGAGTAACCTTTGACCCACCTCGTGTGGACTGACCAATGAGGAGAGGGTCTTAACTTGAGGCCCTCTCTTCATTGGTCAGTCTGCATGAGACTGACTCTCAACTGACGTTCAGTCGTAGGCAGCGAAGCGTCTCTGTGCAGCGCAAAAGCCCGGGTGGACAGTTTGTTTAATATAGGGTGATCATATTTCCATTTCCAAACAAGAGGACAGGGGATCTGTGCCTATGATGTCACACTATGGCAACGCCACACAAACCATGTTGGGACCCATTTTTTGTAAGAACTAAATTAATATCAGATTCTGCCAATAAAAGAGCTCTAAAACAATTCATATGTAAATATTTTGCATATTTAATGCAAAATCTCATTTTTCTGCTTTAGTGCTGCAACAAGGTTTTATTAATAATAAATTATTATACCTTTTGTTTTACTACAGCATCGGTAAGCTTCCTGTGCACAGATTATTAAGGATGCTTGTTTCAGCTGTGAGATTAGACGATAGGATCAATGATAAAATAAGTTGTCCCACACTCCATGGAAACTTTCAGAGAATCCACAAATAGTGGCTTTCAGATGGTTTTGTTACTTTTTGCAAGTTTAGAAAAGAAGCAGATGAGACAGCATGTCTGATAATTTAGTTTTTCATCTGATAATATTAGAGCATGTCAGTAATGTCTGAGGGGCTTTTATAAAAACTGTATAACTAACACTACTGGAGAGGGCATGAATTACACAGAGGCTTCTGGGGAGCCCAGTTATGGTGGGGGGGGGGGGGGGGGGCATTTTGCCTTGGCCCCCAAAATGTCTTGAAACGGCCCTGGGTGTGTGACTGAGTTTTGAAGGTGATCTGAATTGTATCAGATGTATAAATATGACATGTGTGTAACTTATTGTTTTTTACTGGTAAAAACGTGTAGTGGAGATAAATCTACCTACATTTTACTTTGTTTTCTTGTTTTTATTGAACTATTTTCCTGTCCTGTCTGTCTCTCATCTTCCTGCATCTCCTCATAATTGTCCAGAAAATCTGTTGCCTGGATTCTTACTTTTTCACCTCATCAGTTACTTTTGAGCAGATCAAAGGGATCTCCTGACCGAAAAGCGGAGAGCGTGTTTTCGATGCTGCGTGAGGTGAAATCACCGCAGCACAGGTGATGAGCTCCGCAGCAGAGCGCTTCAGGCACAAATAAGACAGAAAGTAGAGAACATGTGCGGACATGAACGATCGTGTGCTAATTATAGTTTTTTGGTTGCGCCACTTTGAGAATGGACCGTGCGCTGGAAGCAGCTGCCTGGATCGCTGTGCAACAATGCGGAACCGGTTCGCAGCAGGCAAGTCTGCCGGCTCTCCCTCGCGCTGATCTGACTTGCTCTGGTCTGCGCGCAACGGGGGGGGGGGCGCTTTTGGAAGAGTTGTGCGACACAACGAATCGATGACGCAATTCGTTGCCAACGCTTTTAGTAATCGATTTTCATCGAATTCATCGATTCGTTGTTGCAGCCCTAATTAAGAGATAAGCAAATATAAGAACTAATAAAACACTCATGATAAAATTATTAATGTAAAAAGTGGCAGGAATTAGAGAAGCAGCTATCTACTCCGTGTAGGTATTAATCTGAGTGTTTGCTGAATGGTTCAAGCACAGCATCGGGTCACGTGACTGGGACCAATCAACTTGAGTGGGCTGCCCTAGGATGTTCATTCAAAAGTCCAACTGCAGAGGGGAAGAAACTGTTTTTGTGGCGAGAGGTTCTGGTCCGAATGGATCTGAGACTTCTGCCAGATGGGAGCGAGTCGAAGAGACTGTGTCCAGGGTGACACGAGTCAGCTATTATCCGACCTGCACGCCTCAATGTCCTAGAGGTGTACAGATCTTGAATGGAGGGGAGTTTGCAGCCAGTGACCTTCTCTGCAGAGCGCACGACACGCTGCAGCCTCTTCTTGTCCCTGGTGGTAGCTCCAACGTACCACACGGTGATGGAGGAGGTGAGGATGGACTCGATGATAGCGGTGTAGAACTGCCTCATCGACTGTGGTGATAGGTTGAATTTCTTCAACTGCCTCAGGAAGTACATCCTCTGCTGGACCTTTTTTCTGATGGTGGTCTGAGTTGGTCTCTCTCCGAGAATAATTATGAATTTAACAACGATTACTGCCTGATGACATTTTCCCACATCTGCAAAGCTCACTGGAAGGACACAAACCGAGGACAATATTTTCCTGATATAGGGTTTATTACTCAAGTAAGGGTACAAAAGTATCTGATTAGAAGGCTACTTGAGTACTGAGTATCATCTGATCTAATATTTTAAAATGATGACATCAAACAGACATAAAATAAGAAGTTATGGGCAAAAATTGGTATTTTAAAGACTAAAGGGGAAAAATGTAAACAAATAAACAACATAATTACAACATAACACATTTTAGGCTGAATTTAGACACAAACTGAGGACAATATTTTCCTGATATACAGTGTTTATTTAGTTGTCTGAAAATGTAACTCGTTTAAAAAAATACCGCGATGAAACCGAAAACCGTGATAATTTTGGTCACAGTAACCGTGAGGTTACATTTTCACACCGTGACAACCCTATTCGCAACCCTGAGCCGTCCTACCTTAATAGAGATCAGAGGGTAACATGAGGATTGGTTCAGGAGGAGGGAAAAAAGGCACTTCAGAGTTACTCTCCACCAGGAGGGGTGGGGGTCGGGTTTTCACAGCATCTGTCTGCATTCCTTCGTGGGGGTTTTAGTTGCTTGCAGCTCAAGGCTACCAGGGCGTCAGATTCGGATAACAAGACTTTGTTTGGGTCAGGCTGAGATAATTTTCCTCTCTGCCTTCAGTCTTTAAACTGATCATTCCAGTCCTTCAGTGAAGCCAATTCAGGTTTTTAAACTTGTCCATACCGTCCGGTGACTCTCTCCGAGATGACATCCATTTTGTGCACTAATACTGGTATCGCAGCTAGAACATTGTCCAGCTTACAATTCACCTCAAGTAACGTCCCAGTCTGTGAAGTCTCCACACGGACGGTGCTCTCCGTGGGTGCGGGTCGCTCTCCAATTGCTCCCGTCTTCCCAAATTTCCAGAAAACCAGATATCCTCCCACTAGGGCTGGGGGTAAACGATTATTTTTAAAACGATTATTCTGACGATTATTTTATCGAATAGTCGACTATTCTAATGACTATTTAGAAAATTAATCTAATGATTATTTTTCTATTGCACAATTAACAAAAACCAGAAAATCTCAAATAAATTGATAAATTCTTACTGTAAGAGAATAAACACTACAGGCCTTCCATTTTGTATAACACTGCTTTTATTGTGTTGGTTGGTTATGTTCTGGTGACGTGTAGAACTTGGGAGCGCAGGCTGCTGCCTGAGAGGTTGTAGAAGATGGTGTGTCTCCATGCTGCTTTGTTTTGGTCACTTATGTGCATGAGGCGAGTGGTCTTACGGGTTAAACCAAACTCAGGTGATATTTTACACTAAACCGAAAACCCACAACACTCTAAATGTAATAAAAGGGAGATCTGCACCACAAAAAAGATGAACTCTAAACCAAAACGTAACAGCTTATCCCAACGCAAGAAGCTGTTAGCGAAGATGCTAACAGTAGCTTTACCAACATTAAGTTCAAGTTACCAAGTTTAAATAAACCAAAAACACCCAGCAGCAAACAGACCAGCACGGAGGAGAGACTGCTACCACCAAAACAGCTCTCCTCATGTCTGAAAGAAGCTCCTTAATGAAGGGAGAAGCGCTCCCGGTGATCTTCTACATCTGCAGTAGAGACGGAGCAGCGCATCTGACCCCGGAAGTTGTTGTCCGTTGCCGGGAGACGAAGGGGCAAAACAGGAAAATAATCTAGTAGTGGACGGACGTTGTTCCGGGTCTTCGGTATTTGGCGGAGATGTTAGTGAAGGCGGAGAAGAGGGCGAACTAGAGGAAAAACAGGCAGATTCCTCCTCTATTTACAAACTCCTGGGGATGAAACAAGTGGGCGCGGTGCGTCGACTTCCGGATCTGACGTCGACAAATTTTTAGAATCGAGCCGTCGACTTCGTCGAGGCTTCGCTACAGCCCTACCTCCCACTCCAATCAGGAGAAATCCAGCGATCATCAGGCTGAATATCCACACGTCTTCGATATCCTCAATGGACAGCTGGGAGAGGCAAATGATCTTCCACTCCTTCCAGGAATCCAACATATACTCCACCGGGTGTGTCCCCTGTGGACATGTGGGAGCCCCCTGCTCCATTCTCTTGGTTGAAAAAATCAGAATAAATAATTTATGGTCTTTATTTGTTCTTATTTGTCAAAGGTTTGGAATCGCAGCTTACAGGAAGTACAGCAGCAGCGGTAGTGGATACCCAAATATTTCTCTCTCTACACCCCTGCCTGGCATCCCAAAACCAGTGTTTGCCTCTGTGGATGGCCAGGAAAAATATGAGACAAAGATTACCACTCTGGAAAATGGTCTGAAAATTGCCTCCCAAAACAAGTTTGGTCAGTTCTGCACAGTTGGAAGTAAGTTGCATCTTTAGCACAAATTGTAATTGTCTCATCTTTACTTGAACGATCTGCCTGGATAATTTTTAAATATATATTTATTTATTTATTTTTATTTTATTTTATTTTATTTTTTTTAGTTTTGATAAATTCTGGATCCAGGCATGAAGCAAAGTATCCAAGCGGTATTGCACAATTCCTAGAGAAACTTGCGTTTTCTGTAAGTAAGATCATTTTTAACTATTTCAAATAAAAAGATCACAAAGTTCATGCTTTTAAAGTTAAGCTATCAACATGTTTAGTCTACAGCACAGTATGGGAGTAAAGATGAAATCCTTCTCACGCTGGAAAAACATGGTGGCATATGCGACTGCCAAACATCAAGGTACAGTTTCAGGATTAAAATTCTTAATCGCAGCCTTTAACCGAGCAAATCTACATTTGTGATGCGTGTCTTCCTGTGCAGAGACACCACCATGTATGCAGTTTCTGCTGAAGTTAAAGGTCTGGACACAGTGGTCAGCCTTCTGTCCGACGCAGTTCTTCAGCCTCGCTTGCTTGGTGAGTCCCGTTTCACATCAGAGATGCCAGCTTGAGCTGCATCATTCACAAAGTTAACCGTGTCTCTTTACATGCAGATGAAGAGCTCGAGATGACCAAAATGGCCGTGCGCTTTGAGTTAGAAGATCTCAACATGAGGCCGGACCCTGAGCCGTTACTCACGGAGATGATCCACGCGGTGAGTTCTGGTTCTGATGTTCTCGGTTAAATGCTGCTTTTCCAACAGCCCTACTCTGTGACTTAAATGGGTTCGGTCCAGTTGGACCCTAGCTGTTGGCCTTTCCAACAGCTAGGGTTAGGCATTGTTTGATTTTGAACGATTCTGATTCCAATTCCTTGTTTCGATTCCGGTTCCTATCTATTCCCGGTTCCAATAAAGACATGACATGTTTTACATAAGCCAGCTAACCACAGGTCCTACTTGATGACATCATCTAAACTTCAACATGAATTTTAACTCGGCAACAAGATGGCGCCTGTGCTTGGCTCAGCCGCGGTCACCGGCCACGTTTTCAAACTTTTCTCCACTACCCTCCTCTTCTCCACCTTGCTCCTGTCTGCGATCCTCTTCAGTAGTGTCCCTGCTACCATCTCCTATGATCGCCAGACTCTTTTGTCCTTCCGTTCGTTCACGATCGCCCAAGATGCACCGAGGATGTACCATCCTGTTTGTTTACCTGAGCGGCGCACTGGCCCGGAACCAATCGACGGTCCCGAGCTGCCCGCCTCCGGCTATGTTTGTCCGGTCCCGGGAAAACGTCGGAGGAAAAGAGGTAAACGAGCAGGAATCCATGTGAGAATAAGACTTCTCTTAAAGCGTGGTTTATCTGGTAAACATCGGCACAATCTTCTAGCTTGTTGTCCTTTGTTTGGTGACCTGAGCGCCACTTCCGCATTCCCGCCAGGCCGCGTTGGGACGCGGTTCATCCGTCCAAGTTTGTTAAGGTCGGTTTATCCTCATTCCTCAGTGGTTTCTCCTCCTGTTCCCTCCATAAGTGGTTTTTATAAACACCGTGGATCTAACCCCGCTAATTTACGTCCACTAACTCCAGCTGTTTCTGTAGTTTCTGATTCCTCCACCTCACTCAGCATGGCTCTATTAAATACCCGCTCTGTTAACAATAAGTCCTTCCTGCTCAATGATCTAATTCTATCTAAAAACCTGGATTTTCTGTTTCTGACTGAAGTTTGGCAGCAAACATCTGATTATTCTGCTCTGATTGAACTCTGCCCGAGTGGTTATTCTTTTCTTACCCAGCCTCGGGGTTCTGGTCGTGGTGGAGGCCTAGCTGTTGTTTTCAGAGACCATCTTCCATGTAGCTCTACAACTCTGGTCACTTTGCTTCCTTTGAACTGCAGCTGATTAAAGTTGGGCGTAAGGACCCGTTCTACTGTGCTGTGGTCTGTCGTCCACCTGGTCCAAACAGTTCTTTCCTTCAGGAGTTTAGTGACTTCCTATCCTCCACTGTGAAGCTGTCCAGACTGGTGATTGTTGGTGACTTTAACATCCACGTTGAGGATCCTTCTGATCACTTTGCCATGAATTTCTCCAGCCTTATGGACTCCTTCGGCGTTACCCAGCATGTTTCTGGCCCCACACACACCAGGGGGCACACTCTAGATCTTGTTTTTACCCTGAGTCTAAACGCTGACAGTGTTTGTCCTGAGGACGTTTATATTTCAGACCACCATTGCATTTTCTTTAACTTGTCAGTTTCTGCGTCCCCACCTCCTGCTCGCCGTATGGTTAGTTCTCGTTTTCATTCTACTGAAACAGCTCTTCTTAGGGTCTCTAATGACCTTCTGACTCACATTGATGCAGGGGACTGTTCTGTTCTGGTCCTGCTGGACCTGACTGCAGCCTTTGACACTGTTGACCATGACCTGCTACTGGAGAGGCTGAGAGACTGGGTAGGCCTATCAGGATCTGCTCTGGAGTGGTTCTCCTCTTATCTCTCTGAGTGTAGCTTCTCTGTGGCCGTCTCCAAGTTTAGGTCCTCCATCACCTCTCTTACCCATGGTGTCCCACAAGGTTCTGTGCTGGGGCCTCTACTCTTCCTCCTCTATCTGCTTCCTCTTTAGCACATCCTGAGCTGTTATTTCTGCAGTGAGACAAACTCACCTCACACCGTCCAGAGTTTGTTCTTTAAAGCTTCTATTAAATCCACCGTGTTGACGTATTTAACACGATTCCTCTACGCTGCAGGAGTTAAAGTTTACATCACTGAGTAAAAGTTCGGCAGACGTGTTTGTTTATATCTTGGTGGGGGGAGCGGGGGCTCGTGCTGCACACACACAGCTGGTGTGATCAGCTCTGAAAAGCGTTGATCACAATTTGCAGATAACGTTTATTTTTCCCGGAGATCGGCCTCGGGTTCCTCTTCCGTCGGCATTCTAGGAATCGAAATAAAAAACTGAACGATTCCAGGAAAAACTAACAGTTGGTCCCGGTTCCAGTCGATGCTCGATGCCCAACCCTACCAAGAGCACAAGTCTGTATTTTCCCCAGCTTTTCAGCAGCTGCTTTGATGTGGTTCCAAGAGTACGGGACTGGGCCAAAACCACTCCACGAGTGACTCTCGACAACTAAACTGATTGGCTGGGTGGTGGAGTCACTGGGTACTCCTCAGAGTTTTCCACCTGCTGCCTGTAGGGGTTTCCAGGTTCAGTGTGACATAAAGCCAGAGACTGAGCAGAATGACATCATCTATTGTTGCTGTATCACCTGACATCGTTGTTCAGTTGCACACTCTGCTCGTTTCACTCTTCATCAGTTTTTTCTTGGCCACAGCCTTTGTAAGTACAATTGTACGTTTGTTGGCACCTTTTCTGCCATAATTCCTAACATGCTATGCACCTATTATAACAATTTAGTATTCTAGGTGATGTCGCCAGCTCGGGTCTGGCTTCATCTCCTGTTCAACTGCCTCTGGCCGAGAAGGCACGGTTCGAGCACATAGAGGGGTATGTGCAGAAGGGGGAGAGGCAGTCAGAACGCAGTTTGATGGATGGAACCGGATCATTCAAAATGAGACGTTCCGTGATTGGATAAGGCTGCCAGGATTGTACATTTCAAAGCCAATTTAAATCTTTCCCGTTTTTGACCAAGTGAAATGATGGATGTGGTGGAGGTTCACAAGTTCCACCAAAGCTGCTTTCGTCCCTCACACACCATTAATGTTCAGGTTCTGTTGAGCTGCTTGATTCAAAGGCATCAAGACACCAGAATTAATGTAACTTAATTATTTGCAGGCTGCGTATCGAGGAAACACAGTCGGGCTTCCTCGCTTTTGCCCAGCGGATAATGTGGACAAGCTTGATAAGACCGTGCTTCACAGCTACCTGCGTAACTACTACCGTCCTGAGCGCATGGTGCTGGCAGGCGTGGGAATCGAGCACGAGCAGCTGGTTGATAGTGCTCGGAAGTATCTGCTGGATGCCAAACCGGTGTGGGGAACAAGCCCGGCTGCTAATGTGGACCTCTCGGTGGCTCAGTACACCGGTGGAATAGTGAAGGTGTTTACACATCTGCTGTTTTTCAGCTAAAATGTTTTTGAGGTTTTAAAATGAACGGATGATAATGATTTTTGTTCCGTTAGATGGAGAAGGACATGTCTGATGTGAGCCTCGGCCCCACTCCCATCCCAGAGCTCACCCACATCATGATTGGCTTGGAGAGCTGCTCCTTCCTGGTTGGTGTTTAAATGTGTTCCAGAGTCTCCCGTCGCTGCTTTGAGGCATCTGGAGTAAATTAATGTCCACTTTTCAGGAGGATGACTTCATCCCATTTGCAGTGCTGAATATGATGATGGGTGGAGGTGGCTCCTTCTCAGCAGGAGGACCAGGCAAAGGCATGTTCACCCGCCTGTACCTGAACGTACTCAACAGGTGAGTCTTTTAGTCTAAAAGTCACTTAAAATTAAATCCCAGACTTCATCTATGATTTTCTTTCAATATGTGTAAATGTTTCTTTGCTTCAGACATCACTGGATGTACAACGCCACTTCCTACCATCACAGCTACGAGGACAGCGGCCTGCTGTGCATCCACGCTAGTGCCGACCCCAGACAGGTTGGTACAGCAGCTAGTGTGTGCCTTGTGTCTTAGACGTGAAAATCCCTCACCTTTCAGTCAATTCTCACCGTTTTAAATCCAAAACAGGTCACCTACGTGATTTGTGTAGACCCGATAAGAATATATTTGGGGGTAGCAGCTCGGGAGGAGTAACGCATCCAGCAACTTTCTAAATGGAAACACAAATCTGCAAATCTCTTATTGCTTAACTAAAAAAACTCATTTCCTGCGTCAGGTTGGGTTATTTCACACAAACTGAATGACTTCAAACTTTGTCACAGGTGCTGCCAGCCTCCTTGATTTTTTTAATAGCAAAATCACGTGTGATCTCGCAGTTCTCTTGTGATTTCATGATCTTTTGGTATGCGCTGCCAAGGCCGTGGGAAAACCCCGTCTTTTCCGCGCTGCTAACTCATTCGCTGGAAAGCCGGGGGTAGGCTGCTCTACCTTGGTCTTGACAAACAGTAAATGAAAATGCAGCTTTTTTTCTTCAGGTTCAGGCAGAAGTGACAAGATCGTTCTGCTTCTGATTGAAAAGACCGAGTATGAAATCTAAATTTGGGATTTTATTAGCTTATTTTTTATTGCCGCCAGTAAGAAACTACAAAAAGCCTGATGTTTGTTGTTAACTCATTCACTGCCAGCCGCTTCCTGATCAGAAAACCCTTCGCTGCCAGCGTTTTTACTGTTTTTTGAGGGTCACAGCACATTGCCCACTATGATGGACATCAACGCCAAAACTACAGAACAAAGAGGAGACTCACCTCTTGCATCAGGAAGAATCCGCGTGTTTTGAGCGTCATCCGTTCTTCCGGTTCGCGCCTCACTTTTTTCTACAGCAGCGGCCCAAAACGATCTCCTAACACATGGATGTTCTGCTTCCTGATCACGTAACGTGTGACGTATGCGGATGAAGTTCGGCTTTAGAGCTGGGATGTTTGTTCTTACGGGGCGGGGGCTCGTCCGACGCCCATACAGTAAAAAAAAAATGCAAATGACAACTTGAGTTGTCATTGGCAATGAACGAGTGAATCAGTCTTTGTTGAGCTGATCCGTAAGTAACGTGAGTCGTGACTCATGTCGTTTTGCTAACATCCATTTTCAGGTGCGGGAGATGGTGGAAATCATAACCAGGGAGTTTATTCAGATGGGTGGGAGTGCCGGAGAGGTAATGGTCACCACGATATGACTTCATTAGTTTTTATTGTCTAACAAGAGCTAAGTATTAAAAAAGTCCTCTTGTACACCCAGATGGAGCTGGAGAGAGCCAAGACTCAGCTCAAGTCCATGCTGATGATGAATCTCGAGTCGCGACCCGTTATCTTCGAGGATGTTGGACGCCAGGTTCTCTCCACGGGTAAAAGGAAGCTGCCGCACGAGCTCTGTCATCTAATAAGTAAGTTCTTCAGTTCAAAAGCCTGGCTTCAGTCCAGCTCGTGGGTTAAAAGATATTTTCATCATTTCCAGGCAGCGTGACAGCCAGTGACATTAAAAAGGTGACCACCAAGATGCTGCGCAGTAAACCCGCTGTGGCGGCTCTGGGAGACCTGACGGAGCTGCCGTCGTACGAACACATTCAGGCCGCTCTGTCGAGCAAAGATGGACGTCTGCCTCGCATTTATCGCCTCTTCCGATAGAATCCCGACGTGGCTGTAAAGAAACCGGACTGGAAGATTACACTAGTGTTCCCTCCCGACACAGAACTCTGCACAGCTCAGTCTGGGGGAGACTAATACCTGGTCTCTGGCCTGAGTCCCGGGGGGTTGGGGGGTTAAGAGAAATATTTTACTCCATAGTAATCTCAATGTGGGCGGTGCTGGAGCATCAGTATTTATTGTCTGTGGGCAGAAAGCCAAACATGCTTGCTTTAGTTTTAACAGGGACGAAACTCTGCTGTACGCTGGTGAATGAGTGATTGTTGCTGTACGCTGGTGAATGAGTGATTGTTGCTGTACGCTGGTGAATGAGTGATTGTTGCTGTACGCTGGTGAATGAGTGATTGTTGCTGTACGCTGGTGAATGAATGATTGTTGCTGTACGCTGGTGAATGAGTGATTGTTGCTGTACGCTGGTGAATGAGTGATGGTTGCTGTACGCTGGTGAATGAGTGATGGTTGCTGTACGCTGGTGAATGAGTGATTGTTGCTGTACGCTGGTGAATGAGTGATTGTTGCTGTACGCTGGTGAATGAGTGATGGTTGCTGTACGCTGGTGAATGATTGTTGCTGTACGCTGGTGAATGAGTGATGGTTGCTGTACGCTGGTGAATGAGTGATTGTTGCTGTACGCTGGTGAATGATTGTTGCTGTACGCTGGTGAATGAGTGATTGTTGCTGTACGCTGGTGAATGAGTGATTGTTGCTGTACGCTGGTGAATGAGTGATGGTTGCTGTACGCTGGTGAATGAGTGATGGTTGCTGTACGCTGGTGAATGAGTGATGGTTGCTGTACGCTGGTGAATGATTGTTGCTGTACGCTGGTGAATGAGTGATTGTTGCTGTACGCTGGTGAATGAGTGATTGTTGCTGTACACTGGTGAATGAGTGATGGTTGCTGTACGCTGGTGAATGAGTGATTGTTGCTGTACGCTGGTGAATGAGTGATGGTTGCTGTACGCTGGTGAATGATTGTTGCTGTACGCTGGTGAATGAGTGATTGTTGCTGTACGCTGGTGAATGAGTGATTGTTGCTGTACGCTGGTGAATGAGTGATGGTTGCTGTACGCTGGTGAATGAGTGATGGTTGCTGTACGCTGGTGAATGAGTGATGGTTGCTGTACGCTGGTGAATGAGTGATGGTTGCTGTACGCTGGTGAATGAGTGATGGTTGCTGTACGCTGGTGAATGATTGTTGCTGTACGCTGGTGAATGAGTGATGGTTGCTGTACGCTGGTGAATGATTGTTGCTGTACGCTGGTGAATGAGCGATTGTTGCTGTACGCTGGTGAATGAGTGATTGTTGCTGTACGCTGGTGAATGATTGTTGCTGTACGCTGGTGAATGAGTGATGGTTGCTGTACGCTGGTGAATGAGTGATTGTTGCTGTACGCTGGTGAATGAGTGATTGTTGCTGTACGCTGGTGAATGATTGTTGCTGTACGCTGGTGAATGATTGTTGCTGTACGCTGGTGAATGAGTGATGGTTGCTGTACGCTGGTGAATGAGTGATGGTTGCTGTACGCTGGTGAATGAGTGATTGTTGCTGTACGCTGGTGAATGAGTGATGGTTGCTGTACGCTGGTGAATGATTGTTGCTGTACGCTGGTGAATGATTGTTGCTGTACGCTGGTGAATGAGTGATGGTTGCTGTACGCTGGTGAATGAGTGATGGTTGCTGTACGCTGGTGAATGAGTGATGGTTGCTGTACGCTGGTGAATGAGTGATGGTTGCTGTACGCTGGTGAATGAGTGATGGTTGCTGTACGCTGGTGAATGAGTGATGGTTGCTGTACGCTGGTGAATGAGTGATGGTTGCTGTACGCTGGTGAATGAGTGATTGTTGCACTGAATCTTCACCGCTTGGGTAAGAAAACGGGACTGGTGGCGGAGGTCACGTACCTTCTCCTGCAACAGAAATCATCGTACCCGATCAGTCTTTGGTGTTGTGGGTTGCTGCGGTCTGAGGTTGGAGTTTCTAACGTTTTTCTGTTCAGAGTTCTGTACCGTCTTTGTTTCATTGATGCTCGGACCCTCGCAGGTGAGTGAAACTGATTTAGCATGAAGGACAGCAGGTCGATGCGTCTCAGTGACTGTTGAAAGTTACAACTTTTCACTTTATCTTTTTATTTTGTATTAAAATCTTAGTAAAAACGACAAGTGGGTCATCTTCTCAGTCTGACTGTTTCTTCGAGCGTGTTGTTAAACAGCTGGTGGAAGCATTTGTGTGTTTTTATCACGACGGCTGAGGTTTCTGTGCAGCAGCTGCTAACGCTGTCGAGCTGGCTCAGCAGAACATTAAAACGATTCAGTCAACTCGTGTTGTTTAACAACATTTATTACACAACGTCACATCTTAGATGAGACCATAAGTTACAGATTGAGACAAGAGGTCCTGGGGACGTTAAAAACGAGACCCACAGGCACTTTTCTAGAACAACACAAGCTTTGGAAGCCTGGACTGGACGCCAACACTACGTTAGGCTTGTGTTTGCATGAGAGGTAAGGCGTTGAGTTAGCTGCAGAAAATCACATGGCCTACTAACAATAGAAAAGGCATCTCTAATCATGTTTAATTGTGTTATTTAGAAAAAGTGTAAACAAAAGCATTGAATGCATCAAAGGTCTGAAACCAACGCGTGCCCGTAAGCTCGTGAATGTTTTGTACACTGCAAAAACTCATCTTTTAGAGTTTTAATCTCATTTTCAGTCTAACATTATAACGCTTAACTGCAAAAACGACGTGAAATGTGGTGAATATTCTTAAATATACTTTCTTGCTTTGACAAAATAATCTGCCAACAATTGCTTGGCAAGAATTCTTACAAACCCTTTTACACTGAGCAGTTTTACTGGCTTTTAGCACCCCCTAGTGTCTGTTACTAATTCACTGGTTTAACCGAATATTAAACCCATCTCCTTGCTGCACATTGGTCTTTTTAACACCCTAACCTAACCTAACCTAGTCTCCTCAGCCTACATTAGTGTCTAGAAAAGCGATTCATCACTAAATGAAGCGAATCGGCTGTGTTAACGATCTAAAACAAGCAGGGAGCGTGCTGGAAGCAGACTGCAGCTGCACGGCTCCCTCCACCAGCAGGGACCGGACGGTAACTCGAAAGTTGCAAGTCTGGTTTTCTGGCCGCGGGGTGGTGGGGCTCCGAGCGGCATTTCATTAACCCTAAAGGGTCGTTTTAGCAGACTGGCTCCAGAAAAAGACTTAAAAACATGTCAAACAAGATATTTAAAACAGTTTTACCTTATTTCAAATGTGTTCTTTTTCAAGGTGAGTCGTTTCTTTTTAGACTGAAACGATAAATGTCTAAAAATCAGGTTTTGCAGTGTAATAACTTTGTGACAAATATAACGGCTTCAGTCGCAGAAAGTCACGTCCCAGTACGTTTAGGCAGCTAACTCGTGTGCAGAGTTCTATAAACAGCAAGGCATTTATCCTAAAAAGCCAACACTACGGTGTGAGACGCTAACAGGGATGGAAAACTCCAACTGATGCAGAATCTGTCTCGCTCCAGAAGGCTGAACTGCCTGTAAAGATTAGTTTGAGGTCCCCGGGCTGACGAGGGTAGCCAGTTTCACCGCTCAGTGCCGCTGTTGAGACAACCCCGGCCTCCTTTTGGTCCTGATCCAGTCTGTCCAACCCCAGAGATCGCTCGGCGTTCAGGAGATGCTGCAGACGGTGCTGCTGCTTTGGTTTTTTATAGCCTCCCTCCTCTTCAGCTCTGTGGCGGCCATCCTCCTCTTTATGCCCTCCAAATACAAACTTCGGTCAAACTGTCCTGCACACAGAGGAATACTGACACACACACAAGCTATGAGGCAAGAGTTTGGTCAGAATCAGAAATCCAGCTGCAAGAATGTTCTGTTTCATTCAGATAACCTAGTAATCATGTGTCCTGACACTAAGCAGGCTGTAGTTTACAAAGTGGAGCACGTCGGACTCACTTGTCTCTTCCTGGCCTGAGTTTCACCTGAAAGACGGCGATGACGGGTCGATGGTCAGACGTCTTCACGCTGGAGCAGCTGTTGTATCTCAGCACACTTATGTCATTGGCCTGCCTGCTCCTGAACAGAATCCTGTCCTGTTGACATAAAACCCTCCAATTAAACTAAAAGCTGCTAGAAATGCTAACAAAGATCAGAGGCAGCCTGTGAGCCCAGCTACATCAGCAGCAGGTGTGTGTGTGTGTGTGTGTTTACTGTGTATGAAGGCGTCCTCTGCTTAGACGTGGTGTCGTACTTATCGCAGCCAATGTCAAACTTATACGTAGGAAGGAAGCGTATCGGTGCCTCCTGGAAGCCCTTGAAGATCGAACCTGGGAGGGGAAGAATGACATCATCACATCCTGGAAGAACTAAAGAAATCAGAAGCTTCACACGTACCATCTTTCATTTCCTTGGAGAGTTGGTCGTGCTCCAGCAGAGGGCTCCTGTCGCCACCTGCTGAGCCTTTCATGATGTTTTCCACGTCGGAACGGTTTGCACTCAGCCGGAAGTTAAAATCTCCAACCCAGATCACCTGGTCAAACTTGGAAGTGACGTCAGCTGAAAGGCAGAAGGAATAAAAACTTCCTGCCAGAAACTCATGCAGCAGGTTTGCTTTTATTTATGTACTGTTTGCTTACATGGGTCGGAGCGATACTGGTTGGTATCTGGGAGGCTTTTAGGAAGCCCCAAAGCCTCGATGATCTTGTTGTAATCGAGTATTCTGTCGTAAACTTTGCTATCCCCAGCTGTAACAGGCAACGCATTAAAAACCGTTACAGAATGGGTTTCTATTGGTCAGGTCAGAATAAATCCTACTTCCACTAAAAGGTTTTCCTCAGTGAGAAAACGGCTAACTCCCACACTCACATGTGAAGTGGGACGTTATGAAAAGGAACGAAGTGCCAAAAAAGGTAAAAGTGACTCCCAGAGCGCCTTTGGTCTTGATCTGAGAGACGATCCTGGTGGTGACCGTGGCGTGTTCCACCTCTGTAGAGAGAGAGTAAATGTTATAAACCAACCAATCCAGCTAAGACATTAGAGGACTTCACTCGTTCCAAACGGCAGTGGTGCCCCGGCAACATTTTCATGGGGGCCAGTGAGAATTTTGGGGTGGCGCACCAAATCGGTCCTTGTGGCACGTCAGGCAGAGTTTTGCCTGTGGCTTGTTCCTTCATTCACTCATTCACAGCAATGAATATGTCATGTTGTTGATTGGTCCGAGCGCTGTCCAATCATGTGCAGACATAGATTCTGCCCCACGACAGAGGCCCGTCTGTGGGTCCATCCATCCATCCATCCATTTTCAGCTACTTATCCAGATTTGGGTGACGGGGCAGCAGCCTAAGCAGAGAGCCCTCTCCTCAGCCACTTGGGCCAGCTCCTCCGGGCGAATCCCAAGGCGTTCCCTGGCCAGGTGTTCCGTGTCCTGGGTCTACCTTTAGGTCTCCTCCTGGTTGAACGTGCCATGAAAACCTCACCAGGGAGGCATCCTGACCAGATGCCCGAGCCACCTCAACTGGCTCCTCTCGATGTGGAGGAGCAGCGGGTCTACTCCGAGCCCCTCCCGGATGACCAAGCACCCCATCTCTAAGGGAGAGCCCAGCCTCTCTTCGGAGAAAACTCATTTCGGCCGCTTGTATCCGCGATCTCGTTCTTTCGGTCACTACCCAAAGCTCATGACCATAGGTGAGGGTAGGAACGTAGATCGACCGGTAAATCGAGAGCTTCTCCTTCTGACTCAGCTCTCTCTTCACCACGACAGACCGGTACAACGCCCGCATCACTGCAGATGCACCAATCCACCTATCGATCTCACGCTCCAGTTTTCCCTCACTCGTGAACAAGACCCCGAGATACTTCAACTCCTCCACTTGGGTCAGGACCTCATCCCTGACCCGGAGAAGGCTTTCTACCCTTTTCTGAATCGAGACCATGGTCTCAGATTTAGAGGATTGATTCTCATCCCAGCTGTCTATGCGTCATGGCCAGATTACATATAGAATGGCTTGCTAGGGCAGCCATCTTTACAAAACCTATGGACATTCTACTTTTTGGTGAGCTGCAGCAACCTTTATATGTTTTTGATTATGATTTATTTTATTTACTCATTTTCTATTTTCATAAGGTTTTACTTTGATGTCTTGATTGAACAAGGTTAATTTTTGAGTGAACATTTATACGATTTATTAAAATGGAGGGGCCTTCCCTGGGGGGCCAGTGAGATGGCCAGCAATTTTCTAGGGGTGGCCATGCCCCCTCTTGGGGGTACCACTGCCGACCAGATCTGAAACAGAACCAACCTGAACAGAACCATATGAGGTCTCTCCTGGTAAATACAGTCAGGTACAGAACACCATGTGATGCTGTATACAGCATGACGTAGTGAGGTCCCAGAGTCTCCTGAAGACAGGTCTCCCACTCCCTTCTGCAGAAACACACACACACACACCAATTTAACACAGTTTACAACAATCACAACCTCTTTTTTTAATCACAGCACATCTCATTTCTGAAAAACCCAACTTGTCAGGGCACCCTTCCTGGACTCCAATGACATAAAAATCTTGTGCAAATTCAGAATCTGTAGGAAGGAGGAGATCGTTCAAGGTGGCTGGATGGAACTGGAAAGGACAGAAGCTTAGTTACCACTTGGTTTGGTGTGAGATGCTGCAGATTCAGGGCTTCCTCCTACCTTCCCACCCTGCATGTTCCACGTGACCACGTAGAATCCCACCCTCCTGTCGGGGAAGTATCGGTCCAGCTCCTCAGCCCCGAGCAAAGCACCACTTCCCAGCATGCTGCCCTCTAGGAAGCTCCTGGAATGGAGGCGTTGGAAAGCTAAATCAACCCTTGTTTAAAGTTTTATCATCAGCCAATTATGACATTTTCCAAAGCATTTTGTTGACTAATGTATAAATTCAGGAAATGTACAAGGTTCACTCATCCTTTATAAATGATGTGGATGTTTTAAGTCACATTTATGATTAGGAGGCATCAAATATCTGTCATGTTCTGTGTCCTTTTGGTCCCCAGCCCCCTCCAGGTCTCCCTCATGTCCCCCCTAGTCACTTCACTTAGTTATCCCATCCCATTTAGTGTTAGTCTCCTCATAGATTCCCTCTCTTTTGGTTCTGGTCTCCTTAGTTTCCCCAGTTTAGAGTCTTCGTCCCCGCCTCCTACTGGAGACCAGAAGACTCTGGGGCGCCGGCGGCGATGAGGCAGGGCCAGGAGGACCCCGGGAAGCCAGGGACTCAAGAGGCCGGAGACTCAGGCGGTGGAGCTGGGGAACCTTGGGGGGCCGGGGCCGCCTACAGGCCAGTCAGCAGCAGTGGTCACCACCAGCCCGGTCCTCACCCGTCACCTCCTGTGCCCCAGACGCTGGCTCCCTAGATTCCTGATCCACCGCCTGAGTCTATGAGGAGACTAACACTAAATGGGATGGGATAACTAAGTATGAAGTGACTAGAGGGAACATGAGGGAGACCTGGAGGGGGCTGGGGACCAAAAGGACGCAGAATATGACCAGATCAGTTTATTTCCATCAGTTCCTAAGCTTTCACCATCTCTGTAAATGAAATACTTCTTTGTAAATTGCTTTTTTATTTTTACATAAGATTTTAACGTCTGACTGAACTGGACTCTACGTTTTAGAGCTTGACCTGATAAAGACAAATGTAGTGGATTTGACATGCAAAACAAAAAATGCAGAAAACCTTTATATATAAATAAATAATAAAACTTTAGCAAGTCCTACATGTGCTTACTTTCCCAGTGTCATTATGTTAACTCTCCACCCTTAAAGCCTGCTTCTAACTACCAAGTAGGAATAACAAGCCTTCACTTGCCTGGCCTGCTAGGTTAACCTACCTGGTTCTCACGTCTTTGGGCTTGATGGGACTAAGAACGCTGTAGATGGACTTTAAGGAGTTTACAGAGCCACTATCTGACCCCATGTTCTCCAGAAGCTTGCTGCCACTCAGGTTCCTGTGAATTTTCTCTCCAGTCCTCTCTGTGGTCAGGGCGGGATAATCTGAACAATCCTTACCAATCCTATTAGGTAGCTCTTTAATGGCTGACACAAAGTTGTTCTTCTGAGCAGTGTGTGTCCTTGTGGGATGCACTGGAGACAGTCGCACCTTGCCGGATCCCTGATGGTCCTCCAGGACACTCTGCAGGCCCTGTGGCCTGCTTTCATCTTCTGACAGACTGCTCACAGGAGATCCTGTAGTGATAGCAGACTGAGGTCTCACATCGAAGTCCTCCTCGTTCCTGACTGGTTCTGTCTGGTCTTTAAGCGAGTCTGTGGAGGAGCCGGTCTCAGCTCTGTCACTCAGGCTCTCCTGGCTGTTGTTCAGCCTCCTGGTTCTTAAACTCTCCTCTGCTGAGACACTTCTTTTGCTGCACTTTGACAGGCTGGTTGCCAGCGGGGCCCGAGGGTGGTATTTTGTAGTCTCCTCTGGCGCATTTCTAGCAATAGTTGTAAAAGCTTCATTTTGCTCCAAGGTAGATTTTACAACCCCTAAGGACTTTATGATGGTCCCCCTGTCTGTGCCATTCTCTCCATTTTCAGATGGCTCACAGGGATAAAACAGAGTACAGTTCTCCCCATTCGCTGCCATCCTCTTCTTATGTCAGAAAACTCCTGCTTCCAGCTGAATGAGGCTCTCTCATCGCTAAACACCAGCAGATATGAAAAAAATACGACTTAATGAAAAATTCAAATAAGTTGAGCCACAATGTCATTAAAGTTGATCTGTTTACTGGTGGGTTTGATGCTATCTGAATAGCAAAAACAGACCAAATATCCCATTTTCTCATGTTTAATGCAGCTAACAAATAAAAAGCCGTCATCAACAAAAATGAGCAAACTCTTTATTAAGAATTAGCGTGTCGGACACCTAATTTGGCTACAAACGTTATTTTGGCACAACATAAGCAGACTGTGTATTTTGTTGTAGCTGATGAAGCTAAATGCTAGAAACCGCTATGTCTCCATATTTACAGCTAGCTAAATAGCGTTCTAAACCGACGTTTTTAACTCGTAATAATGGACCTTGGTCGTTTTATTTTTTGTCATCCAATACTTCTTTCACAATTATATGAGTGAAGTACATTTACCTTTAACTACTGCCCCCAGACTGGCTATTTCCAAAAGAAGCTCCGTTACTTCCTTAGCAACGTTTAACAACAGATTTTGTTACCAAGAGCGTCACTCTGTGAAGTCGAGACGTCACAGCGCCCCCGTCTGGTTAGAAGGTAGATTACAACTGCAACTGGGATCCCGTCTTTTATTTATTTTTCTGCTGATGAATAATCTGCTACGAATAAAGTTCTAAAGTGCATTATCTAAAATGTAACTGTAATTACTTAAACAAACAAACAATAAAAATAAAAACAAATGCACAAAAACAAACCATGTGGTTGTGATAACTAAATATTCACTCAATTATAATCATGGTTAAAAAGAAGTGGGATAGTAATATTGTGTTTGTTTATTTATTATTATTATTGGTAGTAGTAGTACTAGTAGTAGTAGTAGTAGTAGTATAACAAATAGCTATTTCTGTATGACTACAGAACTGTATCATTAATTTTTCTGAAACAACCAAAAGTAAACAGATTACGATTTGGTCTTGAAAAAAGTTTATAAACAGTAGTAGTAAAGAAAATGTTTCATCAAAATGTCCTGAATTATCTGGATGATTATGATCCATTATCTTGTATTAAATGAAGAAAACTAAAAGGATGTCCTTAAACCTATTTCTTTGCAGATCAGTATTCTATTTTACTTTAAAGAGCAAGTCACCCCCTACCAGAGTCTAACTCCGCTCCCACTTCCTGTTTGAAAATTGCAACAAATGCTGTTGCCTAGCAGACCGAGGGGGCGGAGCCGCTAACAAATAAACAGGCTGTGTCTCAATTCAGGGTCTGCATCCTTCGTCGGCCGGTTACGTCACTGCGCCGCGACTAGGCCTGTCCCAGTTCGAAGACTCCTTCAAATGCGGTCGACGAATGCGGCCTTCTTTTCGCCTGAATGAAGGATGGGTCCGGTGTATCCTTCAGTGGTTTACATTTCCCAAGATGCCTTGCGGGTCGGACGGCAGAACTTTTAAAAACAATGGCGGACAGTGAAGCGGGAGCTGTTGGAGAGGATTGTGCATATAAATGTCAGTATAAACTTAAACTGTTAGGTTAAGGACTTTTGGTGATACATGAACGTTATTTTAGTTAGAAATGTTACAGTAAAAGTGCTTGTATTGCGGTCTCGGCTCGTATGTTCGGCCGCTCGGTGTCGTACTTCTCCCGCTACGTTTCCCCCAGATTTTAATAGAAGTTTGTATTTTAGGACCAAAAGAGAAAACCAGGGAATTTATTAAGCTTAGGGCGGAGATGGACCACATGATCACCGGAGCAAAGTATTCGGCGGCTGTGGCATGGAGGTACAATAACATCTCATATTTTAAGTTTAGTTTTTTCTGTGAAAACATGAAAGGAATAACCCGTTGTCCTCTTTTCTCTTCCTGTTGTTTTCTTACATGTTTGTTAAGACTATTCTGGAGGAAATGGGCATCCAGGGGAAGGTGCCAGCGATGACCAGCATCTGGAGCTGATCAGGGAGGACAAGAGGCTGCAGAGGGAGGCAGAGCAGCAGAGGGCCCAGGAGAGAAGGGAGAAGTTTGACAGAAAAAATGGTTAATAAAGATTAAACATGAACATATAAAAGAAATATCTAAATAAAACCAGTTCTGTATTAAACTCTTGAATTTTATTTTTGTTTACAAATGAGAATTGTTTACTAGAGGGTATCCGCTGGGTCTTAAAGTCTTAAAAGGTGATAAATGGGTTTTGGTCAAATGAAGACCCTTAGAAAGGATTAAAAACTATTATCACATCTTTGCTCAGGCTCAGCTAGTCGAAAGTATTTTCTCTGAATTAGCTCTCCAACAGTCAAGGAAATGATTAAAAAGCTAAATAAAACTTCGAGCTCCATCGTTTAAAGTTCCTTCTCCCTTCTGCTCAGCGGTTCCACGGTTGCTAGGCGACGGAACGTTCGCCGAGGGAGCGGCGGGAATTCATGAAGGCTAGGCCTGTCCAAATTCACAGCCGTTAACATCCGGTCTACCCGGCCGACGGAGGACCCAGCCCACGCCAGCCGAGTAGGCTGGGTGCAGACCCTGAATTGAGACACAGCCACATGCTAATGACATTGTGACATCATATGGTACCAGCTAACCTTCTAGGGTACCTCTTAGCCAATAGCGATGGCAGATTTAAATTCAAATGCAGAGCAGAGTTTTTACCTGACAACGGCACAACACTGACAGTTTTAGGCAGAACATTAAATTTGAACTAAAATGCACCAAAGTGCAAAATTATTGACTACACGTGTCTGCAGCACGATTAGACACACATTTATACAGTTTATCAGGGAAATAAGGTTGATTTGGGGGTGACTTGCTCTTTAATCTCTGAGATAGAGTATTTGTATTTTTATAGACATATATATGGTCCTATATTTAGTTTAAAACTGTTTTTAATTAAATTAATTAAACCTTCCCACTGACATCACTTGTTGAAACACTGCCAGTTAATTGTTCACTAAAAACCACCGTGCTCATGCACATCAAACTTTGTCTTTTTATGTAAACATCTGGGAAATGAATATTTTTTATTGTAATTTTCACCATGAGTATTTTTACTCTTTCACAAACTCATAACAGCTCCCTACATGCATCACATCCTGCTAGAGTGAGTGACTTCACAATCAGCAAATTATGTCACAAAAAACGAAGAATGTTGCTGACAAAACTGTGCGTATGGTACAGAAAAGACAAAGTGTGACCTCTGATTGTTAACCCTTTCATCCTCTCTCTGACCCCCGTGTTGTACGAGAAGCAGCCACTGAAAGCATTTCTGAGCTCACTGGCCAATGGAAAGGTTGACAATTCTTCTATATTCTGTGCTTTTCTATGACGTTGCTGACTCGGGGAGTTTGGACAAAGGGCCAGTCTGTGGGTTAAGTATAAAAGGAAAGGGTTAAACCAGGAAGAGTACAGTTTGGTGCAAGAGCAAGAACAGCAGCAGCAGCAGCAGCAGCAGCCTACTGACCATCAAAATGACCTCCAGTGGAATGAACACCATGAGCAGAGTAAGTTTTGTAATGTTTGGTGATCCTGGACTGGAAATGTCTGTCTTTAAACGTTTTGATAAATAGCTTCTCTAGTTTCATACATTTACTTCATAATGAGGAAAAAAGCTTCAAATCTGACCCCAGAAGACTGGAAATGAAAGTTAAAACTGGAAATAGTGTTCAGCAGCCAGGGGCCTACATCATTAATCTTTTATTTTTTAAATGAGGAGAAAACCAAAGATCAGCTCCAATAAATCAACCTTTTGTTGTTTTTTCTTCAGATCATCTTCTACGAGGACAGGAACTTCCAGGGACGTTCCTATGAGTGCATGAGTGACTGCCCAGACATGTCCTCCTACCTGAGCAGGTGCCACTCCTGCAGGGTGGAGAGAGGCTGCTTCATTGTCTACGACCGCACCAACTACATGGGCAACCAGTACTTCATGAGGAGGGGTGAATATGCTGACTACATGAGCATGATGGGCATGAGCGACTGCATCAGGTCCTGTCGTATGATCCCCATGGTAAGAAACCATCTAACACGTCTTTTTAAACATGGCGTCTGTTCTGTTCTGGGTTTAACCTGGTCACCACTGGCTCCACAGCACAGGGGATCCTACAGAATGAGGATCTACGAGAGGGAGAACTTCGGAGGTCAGATGTACGAGCTGATGGACGACTGTGACAGCATCATGGACCGTTACCGCATGTCCAACTGCATGTCCTGCAACGTGATGGACGGCCACTGGCTGATGTACGAGCAGCCCCATTACAGAGGCAGGATGATGTACATGAGGCCTGGCGAGTACAGGGACTTCATGAACATGGGCATGAGTGGCATGAGGTTCATGAGCATGAGGCGCATCACCGACTCCTGCTATTAAACTCCTGCACTAAATAAAACTGTCATCATCTAATCTGATGTTGTGTTTTAGTCATGATTCTCATTTAGTCCTGAGAGACGTGGATGTGAACAGGACTAGCTTTCTATTCTCTATTTCTAAACAACACGAAACCAAACGTTCGGTTTTAGCTAACGCTGCAGTTGAGCCTCTTCTTGCTCACAAACTCTTTAAGGTGCAAGTTCTAAACTTAAAAAGGTAGCTTTATTTCATACACAGAGATAATTAAACGTGTCTTTCAGGTGCAAGAAAAACAGTGAAAACATAAAACTGTACATTTTAAATAAACAAATAACAGATACAAATCAAAAGACAAAATCAAAGCCTGAGCAGTTGAAGAGCCAGAAGAAAATATTGGTTTTTACATAAACTGAGCTGTTTGCTAATGCTAATGTAGCAATAAAAATAATCAGTCTTGATTTTTATTTAAAGAGCAAGTCACCCCTTACTAGAAGTGTACTTCACTCCCACTTCATGTTTGAAAAATGCAACAAATGCTGTTGCCTAGCAGACCGAGAGGGTGGAGCCGCTAACAAATACACACACTCACGACATTGTGACATCATAATGTACCAGTTTACATCATAGCATACCTCTTAGCCAATAGCGGTGGCAGATTTAAATTCAAACGCAGTGAAGAGTTTTTACCTGACAACGGCACAACACTGCCAGTTTCAGGCAGAAAATTTAAATTTTAACTGAAATGCTCTAAAGTGCAAAACTATTGACTACACGTGTCTGCAGCACGATTAGACACGCATTTATATTGTTTATCAGAAAAAAATAGTTGATTTGGGGGTGACTTGCTCTTTAATGAGCAAGTCCCCCCTACCAGAGTATTACTCCACTCCCACTTCCTGTTTGAAAAATGCAACAAATGCTGTTGCCTAGCAGACCAAGAGGGCGGAGCCGCTAGCAAATACACACACACACACAGGCTCGCAACGACATTGTGACATCATATGGTACTAGCTAACATTCTAGGGTACCTCTTAGCCAATAGCAATGGCAGATTTAAATTCAACTGCAGTGCAGAGTTTTTACCTGACAACGGCACAACACGGACAGTTTTAGGAAGAAAATTAAAAATTTACTAAAAATTCACTAAAGTGCAAAACTATTGACTACACGTGTCTGCAGCACGATTAGACACGCATTTATATAGTTTATCAGGGGAAAAAAGCAGATTTGGGGGCGACTTGCTC